AAATTTTTAAATATTCTGCCATTTCTGCTTTCTTTTGGTCTTCATGACTTTTTTTTTTTTTTAGGTTTTTTTTGCATTTTTTTGTTCCTTGCAATTGATTGGGTTGGGTTCCTTCCTAAGGTTTCAATCTGTTCTTGCGTGTCCGAACAAACGCTTCTTACTCATTCAATTTTCGCTTTTTCTCTGCGCTCCAGATGGGTTGATTGATTAAAAAATGTAATCGCTCGTGATGACGGGGTTAACGCCTACAACAAACACAAAAGCTGAAGACATTGTGATATAGAATTTGCACCGATGTGTTTTTGAAATTCTTTCAGACAAATATGTATGTGAAAAGTGAGCGCGAGGGCCCTCGGTGCTTGCTGCTGCTGTGCTGAAGTCTCACACATAACCTGTCGAAAGGGGAGGGGGTGTGCTGCTGTACCATGAGAGACACAGCCTTCAGCTATCAGGCCCTTCTACTATGCAACAGGCTCCCAGTTTAGATTCAGGACACAGACACTCTCTCAACTTTTAAGATTAGAATTCAAACTCTAATAAACTTTAATAAACTTATAGTCAAACCTGGATCAGGTGACCCTGAACCATGCTTTAGTTAAGCTGCTATAGGCTCAGGCTGCTGAGGTTCCAATTATGCCCTGTTCCTTTCTTCCTTTTTATATGCCACAGCCTTTTCTCACTGCCCAGAGTTTGTATAATGTTCTGTTTGTTGTTCATGGTCTCTAATTTCTCCTTTTGTTTTTCTCTCTTTGGTTTCCTCTCACCATCCAAACCAGTCACTGCCTCTCCTTGAGCCTGGTTCTGCTGCAGGTCTCGTCCTGTTAAAAGGGCATTTTTCCTTCCCAGTGTTGCCAGGTGCTGCCCATGGGGGACTATCCTGTGACCTATCCTGGGACTATCCTTACAGTAAAGACAACTGTGGTTGTGAACTGGTGGTATATAAATACCTGTCAAATCTCAGTGTACTCCTTGTAGTAAAAGGCACTTGTAGCTGCCTTTATTAGCAGTAGATTGTTGTTCACACACTGAAGAAGTGTTCAGATACTGTGCGTAAATGTACATAAAGTACACACACTTGCTTCAATCAATAGAGTGACTGACAGCCAAAGAAAAGGCAAATGTTTAAGGAAAAGCTTGCCTATGAAAATATGAACATCAGTACAAACAAATAGATCATAATGAAACATGAAGGATAAAAGCATCATGTGTCATTACCCATCCACTTTGTTTTTGCTGACCATGACCTCCTTTTACATGATCTCAAATTCATCTCTAAATTTAATATTCAAGCCATGATATTATTGTTTCCAAGTGTGATGAGGGTGGGAGTTTTTCTCCACACGGTCTGATAGGTACACACCAAGAGCATCTCTTTAAGAAAGCAAGTCTGTCACACAAGGTTTGAGGCAACAGCTCACTCTACCAATAAATTATTCAGGCTCCTGTGCCACTGAATTTAGACATTGCAGAACAGAGCTGGAAGGCTGGGCAGAAACAATTGTGGGAACTAAATCGTTTTTATTCTTCTATATCATTTTTATTCAGCTTTGAGTAGTGGCATTTTTTGAAAACATTTATTAAACATGTAGTTTTAATCACGTTGTTACACATATTGCAAAATGTGCTCATAAAGAGATGATCTATTGTGAAAGGTGACAGAGTGCAGTAAAAGGTCAATCCATAACACGCTTACAGACACAGAAATCATGTAGACTCATTCCTTGGGTAGAGGTGAGATATGTTTTGCTTGTAACTGCAATTTGTACCTGCAAAAGCAACAGTTTTGTACAGGATGTGCTCATGATATTCCAGAGATAAGAGTGGAAAAAGGACGACGACAGGAAACACATGGAGCGGAGGCTTCTTAAAATGTGTTAAAGGTTGTCAACAAAAGGTGTGGTGACTGTCATTAACTGTAACTTATGCATGTTATGTATCTGCTTGACGCAAGAAGGGGCGTAAACCCTGATATTTAAAAACCATTTGAAGTGTGCTTTCTAGTGGAGATCTATGCTGATAATGTAGTGGTGTGTATCTTCAGTGGTCCTTTGTCTCACACCTCAATCGCGAATCGGGACACAATACACGACTCCTCCTGTGTTTTCCTCTAGTGGACAAGAGTGTGCCAAAGTAATCATAAAAACATCCCACTTTAAAAAAAAAAAAAAAAGTACACACAGCAGGGAGTGTCTGCCGAGTTTAGCATGTGGTGATTCATGGGAGTGACATCATCCTGTTTTATTCACGTCTGTGATTCACACCACTTACATTTTCTGTGTGCCGTTTGAAGCATGTTCATTCTGCGAGGAGATTAGACCGTGAAATCTTAATGCTGACGAATTGAATAAAACATTTGCATGAGAGAGAAGTGGATGAGACAGAGACAGCCCAAGGGGGGTTTTACACATCGTCTAAATGTGTGTGAGAGAGAGAGCAGTAGGAATGGTAGGACTGTGCAAAGAGCAAGGTCACAAAATTGCATTGTGTTTCACTGAGGCTGAAACCTGAGCAGTTAAAGTATCCTTCCACCAGACAAAGAGTTCCTGTTGACTGCCTTTTACTGCCTAAACCTTTTTGCAAATTGCTGCAAATTATTTTCAGAATGAAAAAAAAAAAGAATTTGTTCAGAAAGCTGCTCCTGAGATGCCAAATTATAAAATTCATTTTTTAAAATACACACATAAGATTTTTTTTTACTATACACACTGGCTGTCAGTGAAAATAAAATGTATTGATCTGTTAGCATCAAGCTTTACAGGCACTAAATCTTCATTGTCCAGTAGCAGGATCCTGTCATCTTTTTTGCCAGTGATGTAGGGTGTCTACACGTTCCCCTAACAAATAAAAGCTCCCCGGTTTGATCCCAGGAGGAGGCACAAGTCTCTTTCAGGGCTGTGTCGACTCAAACATGCAAAGTTACCTGCTGTGGCGACGCCGTGTGAATAAAGGAGCAGCTGAAAGAAGCTTCTTCTTCTCTCATCTCTGTTATCAACCTGATGCTAAAGTATATCCACAAAACATGTCTCTCCAGGTACTTTATCTGCTCTTTTTTCTCTGTTTCTGATTAAATAGTTCTGCTTTAGTAGATATGATTTATGATGTATACATTAAGCAAAAATGACTGCTCTCTGTCAACAGTGCTAAATTGTAAACATCCAGTCACTATAACTGCATTTAAAATTCTTCTTCTCACATGCAGAATCCTAAAATAATTAGGCCACATCTTATCTTAAACCTTATATTATGTTATTATCCCAATAGAGCACTTCACGCTCAGACTGTAGGCTTATTTGTGGATATTTAAAAGTAGAATGGGAGGTACAGGCTTCAGCTGTCAGACCCCCTTTTCTGACAACTCTTAACTAAGAGGATCCAGCTGTGTGGTGTGTGGCGTAAATGCTTTCAAATGTAATAAATAAGGCACTTGTAGAAAAAAAATGCTGCTGTGCATATTAAATGGAGTATTTATTTGTCAAATAGGCATACTGTCACTCCTTAGTCAGTAAATTTGAAAAAAATAGAGCTAGACTGATGAGTTTTTGAATTTTCATTCATTCCATCTGATGGAAATTGTGTGTTTATCTGAGTATCTTTCTGAAGCAGACAGCGTTTTTCTGCCTGTAAAAACGGTCCTCTCTCTCAAGGAAAGTTTAACTGAAATTTTATTGATCAATGAAAAACATAATATGACATCAGTGCTTCTTACTGCCATGAGTCAAAATCTCTATATTTTGGGAAAATGCAATTAATATAATTATAACGCTGAGACTCATTAAGTCCACTTCATGGAACTGAGTCATGGTTGTCAAAAAGTGTCTTAATCTGTGCTTTTCCTGTTTCAGATGTTCTAATCCACAGAACATGGGTGGAATTAAGGTATGACAAATCGTCCAGAAATGATAGTTTTCACATATTTTCAATTTTTTCAAGAAGCTACATGTAAGTGGAAAGTGTGGGTTGCATGTCTTAAAAGAATACTGTAGTAGAGGCCGGTAATAAATCAGTCCTCATGAAGAACAGTGCTCTTTAATGAATTCAGCACAGACTAACATCGAAGAGGTAGCAGTGACACACATCAGTTATCAGCTAGCCATCTAACTATATTCTAACTCTAAACCTTTAGCGACTCCGCTTTACTCTTATTTTGCGACACCACCCTCTAGTGGTGCAATATGATATAAACATTAGAGAACACAACAAATACATACATAGGTGCATGTGCATTTAGCTGCTTCCTTTTCAAAATGAAGGTCAAAAAACAAACTGCACGTATTGTTTGATTACCAATCAACGTTTATTATTTGCTCCAGCCTGGTTCTGCCGGAAGTTTGTTCCTGTTAAAAGGGAGTTTTTCCTTCCCACTGTCGCCAAAGTGCTTACTCATAGGGGGTCATATGCTTGTTGGGTTTTTCTCTGTATCTATGAAGCGCCTTGAGGCGACTTTTGTTGTGATTTGGCTCTATATAAATAAAATTGAATTGAATTGAATTGAAAATACAGCGACACACTTTAAAACTGCAATGCGGAAACAAAAATCGTTGTCATAAATAAACACATCTCAAGAAAAATAAAAAGAATTGGGCCTTATATTGTTGTTTTCTGCTGTGATGCCGTTCCCGAGGCCTGGCTCTACTCTAAGAAGCTGTATTGGATGTTTCAGTGAACACTCAGTTTCCATGCGCGGCGACCTGCTTTGTGCCACTTGTCTCCTCTCGGCTTGATGTCCCAGATCTGACCTACTAAACCTTACAAGTACAACACCGTTTGTGTGTCCTCACATGCACTGCTTCCAAAACAATCCTCCAAGTAATCCAGGCTGATTTTACCCCTCGAGAAAAACACTAATTCCCCAGTTATCCGCGAGTTTTACCTTTAATAAAAGGGTTTTCTCTATTACAGCTTCCATAAGAGGTCATAAGCGGGATACTAATCCCACTCCCTGCCTCCGCCTCTCCCTCCCTCTCTCTCTCTCTTCCCACTACTGCATTGATGCTGTTACCTCCCTCGGTGATGATGTCACTGGCTCAGTGGAGCTCGAGCATCCTTGCCAAAGACAGGGAGACAACAGAGCCGTTTCGATCGCTTCGGCCGAACATCCCAAGCTGCCTTTCCGTTTTCCTTGAGTCCCCACTGGCAGTCACGGGTGGAGGAAGAGGAGGTACAGGTACAAGGCACCAGCAGGCGGTGACCTCCTCAGCCCTTCATGGAGAAGGGAAGCTGCTAGCAGGGGCAGTGCCAGACCTGGAGGAGAGCAGCGGTGGTGGTGGTGGTGTCCGCGGAGCTGGACAATAAAACAGACGAGCACGACAAATAGAGCCAGTTCACGTTATTGGCATTGCCGAGGTAGGGCGGCTTTTTTTCAGTGTTTCCATTGTCACAGTGCTGATGCAGTTTTAATGAAGCAGCCTTTATTTACTTAGTGTTAAATCTCCTGGGGAGAGATGGGCTTAGGGTGCGGCCATTGAAGAGGCTGTCATTGTCGGGAAAAGGCAGCCTAGAGCGATACAGAGGCATTAAAGCTGCTGTCTGACACCAGCTATGTGCTGTCATGTTATTTAACTGCGTCTATTTTTAATAAAGAGGCTTTTATTTGTGTGAGCAGGACGGCAGCAATAAATGCACTGTCATTGGGGGAAAGGTGAGGTAGACGTGTGCGCTAAAGTGTTGTGTCATAACGCCAAAAGCTGCTGAAATGACGCAATAAATGATGTTTTTAACGAGTCAAAATGGTCAGTTTAAGCTTAATAACGACAGTGTGCATGACTTGCGTTTTATGGACCTGCTGCCATCCTGAAAAACAAAGTTGTTTGTTTTTTTAAAAGCATTTAATAAATTCACAGTTACCTAATCAATAAGGAAAATTTGCCTAAAGTCTTGTCAAAAACATTATGTGCATTACTTTAGTCTTTGTCACTGGGAAAATGGTGGCCGCCCAGCTGAGCTCCATCATCAGCTGATTGGTGTGTGAGCAGATTATGACCATGGATGTTATGTGGAAAGGGGAAAAAAAGAAGTGGAAATATATTTTCACAAGATGCACAAGTTGCACTGTGACGTGATTAATATTTTCCATTTCAGATAACAAAACCAGAGTCGATTTATGGCACACCTTGTACACCATTCGCTCCTTTTCATTCATTTATTAATCCTGATTTTTAGCCTGCAGTCAGTTCACACCTGTTTTGCTGTTGTACCTATGTTCCCTGCATGCATCTTGCGAATGAATCTGTTCCGGTGCCAGCTGGAGAGGACATACCAGGAATCGGGGTGACACAGCAGATTTACATTCAGTGATGAAAGACAATCTGAGTCACGAACACGCTCTGAGTATTGGTACCAAATCTGACGTGATCCCAAATCTTAGGCATCAGTTGAGTAAAAGAAATGACAGAGTCTCTTATTAATATTCATAGCTGTACCTGATGCAGCATCACTGAAATCTAATTGTATCATGGCGCTCGCTGTCAAGCTTATTGATAACCACATTAAAAATTTTGATGATGAGTCATGCTTGTACTTGATCCACCCACCACACACTAAAATCTATTGAATGTAATTATTTTTGCCTTTTGAGTGACTGCGTAACGAGTCGTTGGTGAAATGGAGCTTCTGAATGGAGCCAGGCCCTGGATTTGTGGCTGGTTTCAGTGCCATTGTCATCCAGAGAAACAGCCTGACATTTAGCTGCTGCTGCACTTCTTTTGTTACAGCTTGCTTTATTATCCATTACTCCCCTGGCTGTAGCTGACCATGCATGGTCTTTTCATGTTACAGCCACTTAGCCCTGCCCTACGCTATTGTCCCAGTCTCATCAACCGCAAGATGCAATATTCCAACTTTACAATTTCTAACAAAATAATGCAAAAATAAGACAACATTTGTAATATTATGCAAACAGAGCACATGCTAGAAAAGTCTGCTATGGCATGACGATCACTTGATCTGATGGATGTTTATAAAACCAGTAAATCTAGTAATAAGGACAGTCGTTCCCCACCTTTTTCATATAACATGCCTCTGTAGGCCTGGGAAATGGACTCAAGTATCGCTTCTTCACAATGTTAAAATTAGAACTGTACTTTTACTAAACTGTACAGAATAGCTAATTATAATAGTTGATATTAAACATGACCAACAATTGAAATAATGAGGTCATCAGGCATTCAAGAAATTCCTGTGAGCAGAAAGCTTGATTTTTTTAGATCAGTCTGTCATATCGAGGCCCCACCCATTTGCTTTTCACATGCTCTTTTTGCGAGGGGCAGCCAATCAGAAGAATGCTGGCTTCTTAGGATACTGGATAAATGTTGATGATTGAGTGATCCCACTCCCTCCGCTGAAAAGTAGTTAAAATTACTTTTAGTTGTTTTAACCCTTTAGACATTTTTTGTCTAATTTTAAGCTTTCAGCTCCCCATTTATCAGTCGTGTAAGCTGGCCTAACTTTTTGTCTGTGGTTAAGCTTTTTGTCCATTTGACAGTTCATCACTGCATTTTATGTGGTATTAAACATGAACAAAGTTTCAGATAATTGATCAGTGTATGTACAAGTAATCCCTTTGAGCCCACAGCTGTAAAAAGTCAGCTTTTTTACCCTTAGATCCTGATGACGTCATCGTGAGGGGATTTGAATTTGAAATATGGCAGAAAATATACTACTAACTATACTCTATGTTTCAGTCTTCCTTCTCTACTCTTTAGTGACTTTATGACTATAACTTATATATTCAGATCATGTATGCATTCCTTTTGCCTTCCTGTTTCTACTGCTTATCCATTACTTTGAATTAGCTGTTAAAATGCTGCTTAAGCCTGTTTGGGTTCACTCAGTTCTTTGATTAAGTTGCAGTTTCTGGGTTTCTTGGGGAGTGGTTTGCACATTAGTTTTTAGTTTACTATTGGCAGCAACTCAGTTGTAATTCATATTCTCCTCCTTTCAACAGACTTGCAGACCGGCATTACAGAAAGCACCCCAAGGTGCTAAGAAGACAGCACCATGGCAGGGGCCTCTGTGAAGGTGGCGGTGCGGGTCCGCCCCTTCAATTCTAGGGAGATTGAGAAAGATAGCAAACTGATCATTCAGATGTCTGGAAACACCACTAGTAAGTACTCTAACTAGGATTTTTTCATAGAACTGTGGTTTTACTGAAAAAAAAAAGTGCATGTTTTTTATTATCTTCAAGGCTGACTTATACAGTGAAGTAAAACTGTAATTAAGTCTGACAGATGTTTGCTTAACCTGGGGGAGGCTTCTTCTTCCACGAGGCATTAAGCACAAGGTTTTCCAGCTGTAGCTCACTTCGACCTTTAACCTTTCTGTGCGGTTGGATTACTGAACCATTAATTTCCTCTGTACATGTAAGGCGTATTTCAAGACACATCAAATTAGCGACGTTTTATAGAGACTCCGACTCAGTTTCTGTGGGAGCAAACCTTTTTCCTGCCTCAGACAAAATGTGATCTAACTGAACTTGTTTGAGACAATATGTAATTACTACAGGGTCCACCTTTTCAGCAGCTAAACAGAGCAAGCAGTGAAGGATTTAGCACATCACCAGCTTTGCAAATCAGATGAACATCACGTGTTAGGCGACATAATCTTCTCATTTATTTTGTAGAAGTCCTGCTATTTATGAATACAGGTTAAAAATTGTTCCTTCTTCACCATTTTATAATTAATCTTTCTGTTTGAGTGTATGCAGTGAACAATTTTGTTATAATCCAAAACCAGCCACATTAATTTTCCTAGGAAACCTGCTCTGTAAGTTTCCTTCACTTTTAAAAAACATGTACTTAAGAGCACCACACATTCATAGATTTAACAGAGGACTGAGCGAAGAGACTGGAAAGACACTCGATATGTGGTCTGCTTAGCAAGGTAAAGCCGTTTGTCAATAATTGATGAGACTTCCTAAAATATTTACCGTTTGGCCTAATTTAGGTATCTCCCTCCTCCCTGCTCATGTCACGGGTGACTACACAACGAGCTGGGTGGCCTTTCTGGGCTGTCATATTTTTATGTGGGATGGCGTTTAAAGACTCGCAGCGTGATGGTTTGAAATTTTTTTACTGTACAGTAGGAGTGATGTTACTTCGTTTGGCTTCTTTCTCTGTTTCTATGGCAGTGAACAATAAGTGTTTGCCTACTTCAGCAGTGTAAACATAGACCAGAGGTACCGGAGTCCATTGGGAATGAACTGGCAGCGTGTGGAGTGATAAAAAGTCCTTGAAGATGTACCGTTTTAAGCCATCTGTGAATTTGATTTTTAATCACACAAATCCCTTTTTTATGTTTTTATCCATGACATTATCCACACACATGTAAATTTAAAACACTTCACGAACACTGCCATCATTGTGTAGCACTGTTTAAAGCTTGTCTTAAAAAGTGCTTTACAGTAAATTGCTTTGCAAAGATCACAAAAATCAACTAGTCGAACGAATACTAGGGTCTCACACTTAAGCTAGAAATCATTTAAACCAAGAAATAATCAGGTTTATAACTTTCCTGAGGAGGTTTATTCCATAGGTTTTGGGCCCTGCCCACAAATTCTCTGTCACCTTGAGATTTCAACGGCACCTCTGGTTCAGATAAAACAATCGTGGTGATAGCTTTGGTCTTGGTTCTAATACAGCGATCTACTTTAATCTAGTATAACACAGGTTACTGAAAAAGGTATAGTCAGACCTGCATGTGGGCAAATATGGAAGCATTTGTGTTTGATGAGTCTAATTCTGATCAGACATTTAAGACGACCTTCTAACAAAGTGGCTGCTGCTGTGAGCTACATCTGATGTCCAGCCCACAGGAGCTGCAGCTTGAAATAATGCACTGCTCAAAAACCAAAGCAAGTGCTAATAAATTAGATAAATGCAATATGAGTTTTTGTAGCAGAGGCTTGCTTCTGTTGTTCTCCAGCAGAAAGAAACAATGGGGGATTTTTAGCCACCTGCACTATAAAGTTTATTAAAACCACAGTGGGGCTTGCAATAAATATATGCAGTATGCTTTCTAAATTATGTTGATGCCTTAATCTGGAAAAAGATACACATTAATCCATTTATTCTTACATATTAAAAGGAAGTCACCACTTTATGTCATATATAGGTGTGAATTTATCATGTTTCTCTTTCAGTTATTTTTCCTAAAACCCAGACTTTAAACATCCTGTCAACACTCTTAAGAAGCTTCACATTTTTCAGATGCACAAAGCTGCTTTCAGTGAGACTGCCGGTCTTTCAGTGGAGCAGATTGTTCTCTTCCAAACTGAGTCAATAGCTCTGGATGTGGGCTGGAGGATGTGAGCAGGCTGATGTCATGAAAAAGCCCATTGGTTGCAGTGTCTGGAGGGGATAGAGAATCGGGGTATAAATGCCCCCTTGTCTCTCTGTAGTCTGGGTTGAAGAAAGGGAAAAGACGAAGGAGTTCTGGATTTTGTGTGTGTGTGTCTCTCACTTCTTTGTGCTCCCTGACATTCATGTGTGGGTCAATAGCCCAGTTCCCACAAAGCAGGAGAATGGCAGTAATCTTGTTGTCTGATAGAACTTCCCTCCCACGCTGACCTTAATTAAGATGCAGGGGAAAGACCTGAAGGAATAAGGGGCCTCGCTTTAGACGACTACTTGCTGCAAATACTCTGTAGATTTCTGTTAATTTTGCTGCAGAAAAATTATGAAGACATCAAAATTTTCACCATCGCAACAGTTAGTAATATATGTAAAAGCAAGAAATCTAATCAAGTATATGAGTGTAGATGCATTACTTTAACATGCATTTGGTGGTTTCTTTCACATGTGTTCATGCATTATATCTCATTTGGACTATATTCCAAAAAAACTGCCGTTTCTCATTCAAGTAGCATGAGCTTAGCAGTGCACGGCACTAAGAATATAAATTGCATATTGAAATTGGCTGCAGCCTAAACCTTGATGCTCTTTCATAGGCAAGAGGAAGTGAATAGAGTCGTTTAAAAGCCTGTGGGAAAACAGCCATGATTCTCACTTGGTTTATGACCTTGTTAACCACTGTTATGGTGACTTTATGGTCTGATTGCTATTTTAAATTGTTCTTTAGTGCATCATAATGGTGATCTAAATCTTCATCTCCATTAGAGTAAAATAGACACCAAAGCAGGGTATTCTTTAAAGCGTTTAGTATTGACACTCAGACACTGACCCCTCCCTTGTTTCAAAGACGATAACGACAAACTTGAACTTAAAAACAGGGGTGAAATTCCCAATATTCCCCATTCTATTTATTATTCAGCATTGTGACTTTTTCCGGTAACAGTATATCTAATATCTAACGTCCTTTTGAGAGAAATTGTGGATACATGCCTTTTCTTCATCTGTGTAGTAAAAACCCTCATTACCATAATGATTACTGCTCTTTTATGTAAAAGTGCGTCATGCAAAGACTCATTTGACAGTCAGACTTCATAAACTCAGATATAAATCAGCAAACAGCTGCTGCAGCTGAATATAGTATCTACGTGGCTTTCCTCCAGTCCCTGTCAGTGAGTTCATATCCCCTCTTTCAGACCTGCTGACGCAACCACATTTCCTCTTCTATTGACTGGGGCAGGTCAGCCGTGACAGTCCTGAGCAGCATCACTCAGTCACAATTATGAAGACCTAGCAGCTATGACAAAGACAAACATGGAATGTGCAGTAAAAGGATACTGAAAACATGACAGAAGGGCAACTGAAATTAACCTCGAGCAGATAATCGCTGCTATAATTAGGAAAAAGACGAGGAATGTGGGCGTTCCTGACAGATACAGTGATGAGTGGAGGCATTTGATAAAGTGGGAAACTTTAAAACTGGGCCAACTGATCAGCATGAGCAGTACTATTTTCAGTCACGGTTACGTAAAAAGATTATTTGATGTTATTAGGGAAATATTAGGAAAATATAAAACATATGGAATGCTCAAAATTGGAATACAGTGTAGTGGTATTCTTTTAAAATACACAGCTATAAAAATACATTGTTGCGAGTACATTTTAAGGTGGTAAACATTTGCAAAAAGATTAAACAAAAACAGTAAACAGTAATTATTTTTTTGCCCAATAAGTCCTTCATTTTAAAATTCATAGAATAAATGTTTATAAAGAAATATAGATTCAACATTGTAAATATAGACTGTTAGTGTAAATCATACATTGTTGTTTTAATAAATCAAATTGCATTAACTTAAAATATTTTGTTATCACATGCCGGTTTTCACAGTTCAGTTAATTACCTCCATGCAAAAACTGCATTAGAAACAACTTTTATTGAGGTATTTGGGTATTTAGAACACTGAAAAAAATACATGATCAGCAGTTTCTCCGTCTTCATACATTTTTAATATTTGATTACCAAGATATCTTATGTGTATAGTAAAAATGAATGGCAGTGGCCCTGGTGAATACTTTATGTTGATAAATGTATCGATTGGGCTTTTACTTCAAAACACTCCAGACGTGGTGACAAAGACGGAAGAAAATGAACTGCTCGCTTTTCTCGTCTAATTGTCTGCACTTAATAACGGGTCATCAATTAAATCTACAGCTAAAAATTAAAAAGATCTTCCATCGTAAAAAGGGAAGATAGATGGCAAAAGTGGATATAGTGAAGGTTGAAGGAGGTCTCCTCTGTGTGCTTGAAATGACGCAGAAAGTGTCCTATGGTGAAGAGATAAGCGATGATCACTGGAAGAGATACCTCAGCTATTGATCTTAAACACTCAGTCCTGCTCTTGTGTCTCACTGCAGCCCTCATGTATGGTCGGTTACAAAATTAGTTTCAACAATTACTCAGTCAGAAATTCTCTTTTTGTTTGTGGCTACTTTCAGAAAAACGTTTCATTGCAAATAAAAACCTTATATGCATTTAACAAGCTTGGTTAGGATAGTAGAAAAGAAGTCTGTACCCGTGCAGTCTGCTAAAGCGGTACCCGGTACTTCCGCTCTGATGGTAATTCGTGCTGCCAGTCACCACCACTGCAAAGTAATTACCTTATCTGAATGCAAGACACTCTTGTATTCTGTGCTTAATTAGGGATGCAGAGGGCTCATCGTGTATGAATCACAGCGCTGTTGAAGATGAGTAAGTTTAGAGAGGATGTCATATAGCGAAGGCTTCTGGGCAATGATGAAATCTTGGTTTTTTGAGTTTTTTTAATTTTAGAGGTTTAATAAAGCAGCACAGTGGTTAGCAGTGTTGCCGCACAGCAAGAAGGTCCTGAGTTCAATTCCACCATCAGGCCGGGGTCTTTCTGTGTGGACTTTGCATGTTCTCCCCGTGTTTGCGTGGGTTCCCTCCGGGTACTCCGGCTTCCTCCCACCGTCCAAAGACATGCAGCTTGTGGGGATAGGTTAATTGCATTATCCAAATTGCCACTAGGTGTGAATGTGCGAGTGAATGGTTGTCTGTCCCTGTGTGTTGGCCCTGCGACAGACTGCCGACCTGTCCAGGGTTTACCCCGCCTCTCACCCTATGACAGCTGGGATAGGCTCCAGCGCCCCTCGCGATCCAGAAAAGGATAAGCGGAAGCGAATGGATGGATGGATGGTTTGATGAAGTAGTTCACGTCTCCTTTCAGTTATTTACCGAGTGAGTGAATCCAGAGTTTGTAAAACCAGATCAGCGTTTTCTGTCAGAATGGACAGTTTCCTGATTGTGTTATAGGTAATATTTACTATATACGCAGTGAAAAGCAATAAGTAATGTGACTACTAATACTGCTTAGTGAAATATGGCAGAAAAGGAAATTACTGCATAATAAAAGATGCAACACAAAATAAGCTGCAGCGAAGCAGCACAAACTCCTTCGTTGCTACGTAGGAACTGTCTTTTGTTTCGGCAGCTGTTATTTTTTAAAATTTAACCCTTTTTTAACCCTTATTTAAATAAGAAGTAAATGTAGAGAGATTAGTTATCCCCTTTGGGAGAGCATCCTGTTTCAGATAGGCAGCATTAGCAGAGCATGTTTTCCGATGGTGGGAGAAGCCGGAGATTCTGGAGAATATCCGCACAGACGGGCACAACATGTTTGTGTGACAGAAGCAGCACAGGCAACAGTGCTAAACATTAATGATAATTAGTGAGCAGTCTAGATTTGTGATGGTCAGCAGCAAGATACAATGATGATAAGATGAACGAGGATTATTTTTTAACTTTCAGTCAGGTTCAACTTTAACCAAACCTACGCAGGCCAAAAATCCTAAAACATTGTGGAAAGGTGACAAATGGACAAAAGAAGAACATATTTCTTTAAAACTGCATATTTTAAGTGTATTGATGTTGATTGAAGATCCTCTCTTCGAATGTCCTTATGGTTCTCGAAATTGTTTCTGTTAGCAGCGAATACAGACTACACTGCTTGGATAAGTATGACAAATATGAGGACTGTAGTACATCTATGTTCATATCTGGCCTTCTTCCAGAGTACCAGGATGAGTCACGGCCAGTAAGTGAAGTCTCATCTCTTAGTCATGGCGAGGATTAGATCTGAAATCTGAAACCCAAGTCAGCCACACTGGCCTATATTTCATAGCTGGAAACAGTAGCAGTGTAGAGAGGAAATAAAACTGTGTACACTTACTTGAGCTCGTACTTAGCTCTGGGCCTTTTCCTCTTTTATCGACCGCATCTGCATTAGTAGGGAAAATGGTCTGGAGCCCAGGGAGCAGGGAGGAAGCATCATGTTGGCACCAAGACCAAATGAGATATGTGGGCACACCAACATGTGGAGTAGTATTCATGCCAAAAACAAAAAACAAACTAACCTCGATTTCATTGTGTCTGCTGAGTTTGGACAAATCAGAGTGAAACTGTTTGATGCACAGCAAAAAAAAAAAATCTCAAGAAATACTCTTTATTAGATGTTTTTGCAGAAAAAAGATAATTTTGTGTATCTAATATTTTACGTTGTGTTTATATTGTAATGTCTACGAATGAAAAACAAGCACAATAATATTATCAAAAGGTTTTACGTGTAACTCGAAATATTGTTTTCCCCAAAAATGTGTTTTTCCACAAGTTAAATCTATAAAAAGCTGTAATTAGTCCTTTGGTTCGAAGTGCAAAACCTTTTCCACTGAAAATACTTTAAATACTCTATGCTTTATTTTTGAAACCAGTATATCATCATCATGTCAATCAGGCCTCGGGGCAGACATCCTTAACATGACGTTAGATTAGCCATCAGTACGATATGATTTAATTATAAATCACTGTTTAACTGGATTTTCTTGAGTTGTCGTCATTCTGGGGATCAGACTGTTAGTGCTTATTTCAAAATCAAATTTTGGCTGCAGAGATGTCTGCCTTCTCTTGAATGTAATGAAAATGTAAAAATCTGGTGTATTTTGGTGCTCAAAACTTGAAAAAAAAAATGCATTTAAATAACTCAACATCTCTTATTAAAAATATTGAAATAGTTATTTTTTAAAAAAATCACAGCTTTTAATGTGAACAGTGTCATGTAGGAACTATCCTTTCCACCATCTTCAATGATCAACATCAGCTGAGAGGAAACTCCATTAATGTTTAAACCCGGCCTGTCTTCATGAGAAGATGCATGTTTCCTACTTCCTGCACAAAATCTTCACAATAAGATTTTGGCACTTTTTTTGAGTAACTACATCATGAAACATTGAGTATTTCAGATGTATTTTTTGTTTGTTTATTCCGTTATATTTAACAGAAACCAGGCATCTCTGCAGTCAATATCTCTAAAACTGGGCAACCTTCACCAAAACAGTCTGGATGGGAAAAAAAAGCAATTCAATCTGGAGGGAAAAAAGGATTTAGGGCGAATTGTCCCTTTAATCTGGGATGAAGTTATACGCTATCAATATGCATACGCTGTGTGAATACACTGTTTAATGGGGAGAAGGCATTTCCTGTTTGAGTACCGAGATGGATGCTTAAATAGCTCATGTAGGATTTGTGATTTACAGAACAGCTGGCAGACACAGGAAGACATAAAAGCATATAGACACTTCACTGGCCTTCTGGGAAGACTGAAAGTTATAACACTGACAAAGGTGGAATTTATTGGAGGGCTACCAAAGGTCAGCGGAGCCTGACAGATTACAGCTAAAAGCGGCTGGTTGTTTCAAGCTGTATGCTGTTGAAAGATGAGCTGAGCGCAAGGTGTCCTAGAAAAGTCCTGACAGGTAACAAAATAACTGGCCTTTTTGCCTGTTTCTCAACTGGTTTACCTCATTGACTGGCTGACGGTGTGTGACCTCAGCCTTTGATATAACAAATATTGGATTTTACACTTTGCCATGGTCTCCAATGCTTTCTGTTTGGTCCTCTTCTGGATGAAGTGTTCCAATGTGATGCGTTTCTGTAATGAATTTATGTAGGCCAAGCCCAATAACTAAATCCCAAAGGTAGCTGTTGGTGCAGAAAGGAGAGGTGACTGAAACCTTTCCAGCTCTACTGGCACAACATGATACTAACCCAGCTCAGATCCAGTTTCAAATGGGTGGTTCTCACCCTCCCTCTGACCCATGTTCCTTGTCCTGTCTTTCAGCCATCATCAACCCCAAGCAGGCCAAAGACAACAAGAGCTTCAACTTTGATTACTCCTACTGGTCTCACACTTCGGTTAGTCATCCATGCACCCCTGGAGCCCAAACACAACGCATCCACATATTTTCATCAGTTTTGGATTTATTTGTTCAAGCCTTACAAGACATTTTTAGTCTTAAATGACCAATTATTGATCTCTGTCCACAGCCCGAAGATGTCAATTATGCATCTCAGAAGCAAGTGTACAAAGACATCGGAGAGGAAATGTTGCTTCATGCCTTTGAAGGCTACAACGTCTGCATCTTTGCATATGGTCAGACGGGTGCAGGCAAGTCCTACACCATGATGGGGAAACAGGATGTGAAGGATCAGCAAGGAATTATTCCCCTGGTACTGACACACTTTGATTAATTTAACAGGGCACATAATAAATTAAATAATTTATCTTTTTGCGGATTATTATGTTTTCCTCTTCCAGCTGTGTGAAGACCTTTTTACAAAGATAAATGATAATACAGACAACAGCATGTCCTACTCTGTAGAGGTGAGTGTGGGCGCCCCTCCTGTTTATACAGTGGATTCAGACCTCTCATCTGTTATAAATGTTCAATCAACTGTCAATTTGAAACAGGTAAGCTACATGGAAATCTACTGTGAGCGTGTGCGGGACTTGCTGAACCCAAAAAACAAAGGGCACCTGCGTGTGCGAGAGCATCCTCTAATGGGACCTTATGTGGAGGACCTGTCCAAGCTGGCTGTCACCTCCTACAATGACATCCAGGACCTGATGGATTCTGGCAACAAGGCTAGGTAATGTAGTCAACTATTTCTCGAGTCTCAGGAAAAGGCAGTGAACCACAGGAGGAGTGCTAAGTTAGCACGTTAGCTTGGTTAGCAAGTAGCGTAAACTGCCATAAACTGTGTGAGTGCAACACTAAGGACACATATACCTGCCAATTAACAACAAAACAGAAGCACAAACTTGTTAAGCGAGCTGTTCCTCACAGCAGGGCTTATTATTCAACAGATATTTACATAAAAATGTTCCAAAAGGTACAAAGACCACAAACAGGGTTGGAAGATGCAGTTCAGTAGCGACTCCAGTTAGTATAAATTAAAGCACTAAGTTATATAACATTTTACCTCATGGACAGTTGTTATGGAGGCTGGTTTTCTGGACACATGTTTCTGTTGTGATATTGCATTTTAACATTGCAGTCTATGTGGATTAACTCACTTTGGAAGGAAGTTTAAAGTGGCTGTTTGGGGAACTGCAAATTCTATTTAGCTCTATTTTAGCTCTAGAGGAAATGAAATGAATGAAAGGGCTAATTAAAGAGAGACTCCATTGATTTTAGTCACTTTCTTTCTCTCTTAAAGTAACTGCACACAGGATATGAGGTTTGCAATAAGGAATACTCTAATGAAATGTATGTTTGTGGTGCACTATAAAAATGTCAGATGCATTGCTTAGCTAATACAGGCTCCAGGTTTTTCCATTTATAATTCTAGATTGGTTATGATTGTGAGATATTAAACGTCTCTCTTGTTCTTAGACCCTGAGGTTTTTGGATTTTGGCTGTAGAATTGGTTGAAATTCCCCCCAAAAATGATTTTAGGGCTTAAGGAACTAAACCTAAACATCATGGCTTTTCGTACTTTAGTTTTGGCCCCTTTTTAAAAATCTGTCTTGCATAGAAGGATGGATGTATCCACTCGGATCATCTATGAATACATACATTGAAAACAGAAGGGAAATGAAGGGAACGTTAACAGTCAATATCAATTTAAATATTTATATATAAATATTAAAACAACAAAAGACACAGGAAAAAATTAATGATCAAAATAAAACAGGAAGCATGAAGATGGGAAGTGTCATAAGGTTTGGGGGATAAAACACAAGCACAGTGACCATGACGTTTACCTAAACATAGCTGCTGTTACACTAAATATACTTTTTTAAAAATACGCTTTATATATAACTACCTATTTCTACTTTGAATAGTGTTTTATGAGTGTGTCATATAAAAAAAACATTTTCATTAAATTATACTTAAACTCACATCCTGCTGGCTAAAATCTGAACTGTACAAAGTAATTAAAATTCATTGTCTCTGTGCAGGACTGTGGCTGCCACCAACATGAATGAGACAAGCAGTCGCTCGCACGCCGTCTTCAACATCATATTCACCCAGAAACGCCACGACACAGAGATGGATAACACTACCGAGAAGGTAGAGGATTTTTATCTGATCCTCACTGAATTTGTTTAACATTGAGTTGCTGTCTCGGTTTATCTGCCCTCTGACTGATGACGCTGATTTAAGTCTTGATGGGACGTGGAAATCAATGACTCCTTGAAGGTCATGAGGATAATTCTTAAGCTGTTTTTTTTAATAAGGCCTGTCTCTATAATACAGATTGAATGCCTATTGATTCTTTTTTTGTGTTGTCGAAAGCCCATGTGTTGCATCTTATTAATTGGATTCTACTGATTTGGTGTGTGCTGTTTTAGGTCAGTAAAATCAGTTTGGTGGATTTGGCTGGCAGTGAGAGGGCCGATTCTACCGGAGCCAAAGGGACCAGGCTAAAGGTGAAAACACTACAAAAAAAAAATAAATCTTAAATCATGTTTATTTATCTGACTAAATCCATGTTAAAGCAGTCTGTGCTTACTGTCATCGTAATCCTTATCTGCCTACTGTTCTGTCACAGGAAGGAGCAAATATCAACAAATCTCTAACCACGCTGGGGAAAGTCATCTCTGCTTTGGCAGAAATGGTCTGTATTAACCATTTGTTGTATTTTTTAAGATGAAGTCGATTTTGTGTTGGATAAAAATTACAGTTTCCACTGTCTCATTTCATTTTAGGACTCTGGGCCGAATAAGGTGAGTGATTTACATGTTATTATCCTAATTCATTATTTATTTGAACCTATAGTAAACACAGAAAAAATTAATTCATGCTGACTTTTTGTGTGTCTTTTATTTATAAACAGAATAAAAAGAAGAAAAAGACAGAAAGCTTCATTCCATACCGAGATTCAGTTTTGACTTGGCTACTGAGAGAAAATTTGGGTATAAACACCGTTTTTCAAAGGCATCGAATGTCTCTAATTTTTCTAACATCACTGTGATATGTAAAAGAATCCCTCCAGAAAATCATGCGTCTGAACCCCAAAAGATAATCACTTTTACATTTTAATGCAAACCACAACTTTTCTGTTAAATGTAAGATTTATATTGTACTTATGTAATTGTACTATATGTGACATTTTTCGGTGTAGCAAAATCTAAATTTTAACTTCTTGTTCAGACAGAGTGTTTTCCTATTTTTCTGACACCACATTCATGCAGAACTAGTGACAATCAAGTAGTTCTACACATTCTGAACTCAAAGCATGTTAATTTACATCTGTTCTTCTCTGTCAGGGGGAAATTCTCGAACTGCGATGGTTGCTGCTCTGAGTCCAGCTGATATCAACTACGATGAGACCCTTAGCACGCTCAGGTAAACAGAGCAGACAGCACATTTTGTGCTGCAGATTTTTCCTCCCACACAGCTGGTGAATGTTGCTTTGAAGGACACCGGTGTCGGTGAAACGCAGGCATTGTGTAATCCATGTTTCCCTCAGAGGCTTGCCTCACTTTCACACTTCAAACATCCTTCACGGGTTGCAGCTGCAGCTCCGGGCTGCAGAGACGGGGATGTCGGGGGAATTATGTGTATATATGTGTGCGTTTCTCCTCACACACCTGTGTCTCAGTGATCTTTTGCATTCCCAGGTATGCTGACCGTGCCAAACAGATTCGCTGTAACGCTGTCATTAACGAGGATCCCAACAACCGATTGGTGCGTGAGCTGAAAGAGGAGGTGTCTCGCCTGAAAGAGCTCCTCTTTGCTCAAGGCCTGGGCGACATCATTGAGAGTAAGGGACCATTCATTGGATTTATGTGCCCATTATCTGTAGATTGAATTTTAAATTGTTTATAATGGTCTTGGACCTTTTTTTTTTAAGAGTCAGCCTCAGCTCAGCCCACTCACAAACAAATTTGTTCTCCCTGTGCTCACAGAAGCCGTGATGTACTCACAGACATGTTGATCTGTTCAAATAGACCAAGAAGCAAATTAGGAACCAGCCAGGACAATAAAATCAGTGGGAAGAAGTTAATGAAAATTAATAGATAGCAAGTGGTTTCAGACAGCAGTAGGACCAAACTTGGCACGAATGCATTATTCTCCCATTTGTGTCTAAAAACAGGCTGGAAAAAATGGTGTAGGCGTTGTTTCTAGCATTAGCATCTGAAGCTAACACATCATACCAGCTGTGTGCTATGTGAGAGGAAATGTTTTGCCTCCACTCCTGTCCTTAGACAGGCAGGGTGCTCTTACATAAATACACACACAAGTTATACATCTCCTTATATTGGGAAGTGAATTCGTCTTGATTAGGTATCATCTCAGTAGCACTTTTTTTTATGTCAGAAACCATTACAGATACCACAGCCTCAGTTATCCACAAGCACCGATATCATATTCCCATTCTTAGGCACCTGAACAGTTTATAGTGTGTTTGGTGGAACACAAAACTTTTGGATGAGCTGTACAGCAAACCATATATTTATTCAAATCATTTAAAAATGGTCGAAAAAAACAAATATGGTCAAGAGGTCCAGCTCGGTAATGTAAAACAGCATCAGCAGGAGAATCCTAGCAGCCTGTTTGCGCAAAGACACAAAGTTGAACAGTTGATTTATAGTAGAAAAATTATCTATAGAGGGTAAAACTGTTTTGTAACTGGCTGTAAACATTTTTGAATATATGAATATTTTAACATGGGATTGACTCATTTTTGGAGCCAGCAGGGAACCTCAGGGTGACATTAAAGGAACTGCAGTTTTTGATACTTCGTTAGAGGTTGATGCTCACTCATGACTCACCTCTCCTATGCATTAGCTTAGACTATATTACACTTGTTTTTCCCAAAATGTAATCCACTAATTTTGGTTAATTTACCTAATTATATATATATATATAAGTTATAAAGTAGGAGTGGGCGATATAAACGATATACGATATAAACGATATAAATTTGGCCAACGATAGAGATTTTGACTATACCGCTCTATCGCGATAGCGCATGTTGATGATATCATCAAGCTGCGCCTGTTTTGGTCAAAAGCATCGCAGCGGCTACAACCATTATCATCTGCAAATTATGCCAGGCGATAGTCATGGCAAAGAGATGAAGCACTTTTGAAATATGGGGAAAGATAAAAACGTTTTAATTAGTTTCAAAAATCTCTCAGTCAGAACATGGCATGTCATGTTTAGGTGGAAACTAGCGAGCTAACTTCCTGTTAACTTGTAACTCCGTTAAATTTAATAAATTCTGTTTTCATGGATGTCTGGATGTTAAACTTAATTGTTACACCTGGTAAAGCAGCAACGCTGATGATTTTATTAAAGATGAAAGAATTCAGACCTTTTTAACTCTTAGTGTTCGTTTGACGTTGGGACCTGAAGCGGACGGAGTTTTGGACCCAGATTACTCAGCGAAGCTCCTCACTACGGCAGCCGTAATGCTCTGACAATCCATCAAGCAGTGCGGCTTACCAAAGTTGTACTAAAACATTTTTTAACAGATTTCTGCACGCCCAAATCAGTTCGAGGTCAGTAAGCACAACCAGAATTCATACATAAGGCACTCTCTCGATTTTTGAGAAAATTAAAGGATTTTAAGTGTGGAAGATACGTTATACAGAAGAAAAGAATATATCGCGATATATATCGTTACCGCACGTGCTTCAAATTATATCGCGATATGAATTTTAGGCCATATCGCCCAGCCCTATTATAAAGTATATATAATTTTGGTCAGAACATATAGTATTAACTCATTGCATCTCTAATCTTGATACCACTTTTACTGCAGTATTGCAAACAGATGTATTAGATGGATGTTATATTATTTTAAAACCATGCACAGTTCCTTTCCCAGAGAAAGATCAGGATTAATGTTTGGAGCGCATAGAGCATATTAAGACTGCAGTGCTCAGGTGTTCACCAATAGCTAAATGAACATTTTTACATGTGGAGAATTTAACTAAAGGTGTTGTGCTGTCTCTCTGTCTCTTCTCCCAGCATATCGAGCGTCTGGTGCTGATATCGAGGGTTTGAAATGTGTGTTTTCTGTTTCTTGCTTTCTGGCTCTGCAGCTTAGAATCGCAGCTGATTAATGTGGCAGTGTTAAAGTGGTTTTTCAGTGTTCTCTGCAGCACCAAAGGAACTGTTCTGATTGTTTTACATGATTTTTAGTGAAACGCGAGAAGCTAATGTTAATGAAATACAAACAGCATGCTTTCCATCCCTATTCAGGCTTTGCTATATTATGGTGCTGTAGAGATCTGAGTATGACTTTATAGATGCACTGATAGGTCAGCGGAGCAATATAGTATGGAAGCTTGTGCATCATAATGGGATTCATTTCATCTTTAATTTCCCTGACGTAGAAATTGTGACATCCATTTCCCCTGGCAGGTCTGTCTGTGTACGACGTGCTTTATTTTTCTGGCAAGAAAACACACATATCACATAAAAAGATTTAATGACACATGCAATGCAGTGCAGTAAAGAATTAAATCCCCTAATATATTCTAAGCAATATATTCACAAAACATTGAAAATATTTATAACGATGTAATAAAAATCTGAATAAACCTCAATAAACAAACTTAAAAGTTTGGATGTTGTGAGAAAACAGAATGCAATAATTTGCAAATCTCATAAATATATTTTTATTTTCAATTAACAAAATAAAACATTCTAAGAAAAAGATGACCTCATCTTGAACTTGATGGCAGCAGCACAATCAAAAACGTTGGGATAGGGTGATTTCCCACTGTGTAGCATCCCCTCTTCTTTTAACAACACCCTATAAATGTGTGGGAGCCGAGGAGAGCAGCTGCTGCACTCTTAACAGGAAAACGTTCCTTCCTTGTCTGATTGAGGATTATAGTCCTGTTATTAACCTGTTGCCAATTAACTTTATTAGCAGCGATATTTCCCTTAATTTTTTCCTCTTAATTGTTTCTTCCTTCCAAATATTCTCATGAAAGAGTAAAAAGTCTCAGTTTAAATATTTAGTGTTCTGGGGTTAATGGAAAATGCGTTTATGAGATTTGAAAATCATGCTGCCTTTATCTCCATTTCAAACATTATTCCAAGTGGGTTTTTTTTGTATTTTATAATGAATAAATTAAAGAAAACGTACAGTATAGTATTTTTAAAAAATTATAGTACAGCTCAGTATGTTTATTAAGGTCTTTTTAAAGACCACACTGGCAGCAGTACATATAAAAAAATGTTTTTATCCTGTTTTAGCTATAAAGCTATACAAAAGTGGACCAGGTGAAGCATTCATGATATAACACCTTTCCTGTGCTAGATCCCTAAGTTCTCAAGTTCCCTAAAAAAGGTAATTTATAATATGATATTGCATTAATTTAAGTGAGGCTCAATGTAAAAAATAAAACTTTTAAGAGAAAGAAAATGTCTCTACTTTAAAAAGATATTTGGATAATTACCTTGTTACATTTCCCTTTACAGTTTACGAATCATCAGTCTGTCAACGCCTGTTGGCAGGCAGGATAACAGGGCACAGAGGAACGATAAGATGAGGGTGATGATGTAGTCTTCAGACATATAATCACTTACATAATAGTGGATCTTTTAGGTCTTCTGCACTTTTCATGCCATAGATTTTTACAGTCTTTCCATAATGCACAACTTAATTAACCGCAGAGGCAATATTATGTGATCAATCTTGGCGAGCCGAAGCCTGTCCAGATGGATGGGTGTGATACACTTGGCCAGTTTATTGCTCTGTGTTGCCATAGCAGCAGCAGCAAGGTTGTTATTATTGCTTTCTGCTCAGGCCTTTCAGGTGCCACGATAAAACCAAGATAAATCTTTGAACAGAAAAATATAAGGGGCCCTTTTTTATGTGTTACCCAGAAATTTCATTCAAAGCTAATCAGACAAACTCATCACTGTGTCTGATCCTCTACCAGAGAAATGGATTTCTGCTTCCAGTAATTTGTTTGACATTAATAATTTCAGCAAAGCATGCTGAGCAGTAAATGCATCTTGCTGCTTTTAGATAATAATCTTAATTGAGAGTTCTGGCTTTCTAATGTTCTGTGCAGAAAATAAGACGCCATTAAAAATGAGTCATCGTGTTTGCGCACACAGGCTCTGCAGAGCTCACGTACTTTGTTGTTTTCCATAACTGATGACAGTTTTTAATTTTTTGGTAGAGATGCTTGAATGGGAATGAGTAATGGAAATCTTTTCTCATGCTGCTCGAACAGTTTCTCAATGGTTCTGCATATCACGCTGTGCTTGAAGTTTTGTATGGTAGCTACATTTTCGTTGAGTCGTCTTGTGGCTGGATGGCCTCCTTGTTGCATCATTTGAGTTGTCTGTGGCTTTCTGCTGGTGCTGCCCTCGCTTCTGTGCTACCAGTTCAAATTTCTCTCTGTAAGTTAGATTTGTTTCAAGACACGTATCTTCTTTCTTTTCTATTCTCTTCTCTTCCTTTTCTGTATGCATTTCTCCGTTCTTTTACTCCCTGTTATCGATTACCCCAAACCCCGCTTCCTGTCCCCACTCCCCACGCCCCGTCCCACCCTGGCAGACATATCCGATTACAAGAACAATAACAATAAAGGCCAAGCTGTGAATCAAAGGGATGATCTCTCCACAGTGACCAATGCCATGACGGGGATGAGCCCCTCTCCATCTCTCTCAGCCTTGTCCAGTCGGGCCGGATCTATTGCCAGTCTGCACGATCGCATCATGTTCAGCCCAGGCAGCGAGGAGGCCATCGAAAGGCTGAAGGTGAGCACAAAACCCCGTTTAACCCCCACCCTAGCCTTACACAGTCTGGAAATAAAACTTCAGTGAGATTCACTAAGCATTTGTTGAGGTTCAGAGTCTTTCTAATTGTGGGCAGATTCAATAAAAAAAGTTCAAAAAACCAAATTGGTCTTTTATACTATGCCTTTCTGAGCATTTCCAGTAGATTATAACCAAAAACCTGATTTCCTAAAAACAAATGGGTCTTCAGAAATTCCCAGAGCCCAACAAAATGACCACCAACAGGCTTCCCACGTGCATATTTCTGACCAAAACTCCGACTAAGGCCATTACACACTGAGCATATTGTGAAAATTCTGAATTTTATGCATGCAAACACAGTACACGTTGCATTTTTGCAAAGAATTTGTGGGACGTGTACTCACAGCCCACCACAATGCAGCTCAATTCATCAAAGAACAGCAGAACTGGCAACCAGTTCTATTCACAGGTTCAGACCGAGCACATGTGACAGACGCGAAAAAGGCTCTGTCACATGTGCTCGGTGTGAACCTGCTCTCATCTGTGAAGAGAATGGGGCTCCACTGGGACACCTACCAATTCTGGTGTTCTCTGGTGAATGCCAATCAAGCTTTTTATGAGCAGTGTAGTTATAATTAAAATTATGCACCAAGGAGGACAAGCAGAGCAGGGTCACCCCAAGCCCCCCTTTATTTGTGTCCCTGGCTCTTTTGGCCATTTTAATACTCAATGAAGCTCTACATTATGGCACAAAGACATTATATTCACACACTTTTTTACATGCCAACATAAGGTCATCTAATGAAATCACAGATATGGGACATTTAATTTCTGGTACTTAAAAAAGTAAGCAATTAAGTAAGCTAATAAAATACTGGAATATACTGGAATTTTATTGCTTCATTGCTGAATTTGGATGTTTCTTTGCGTTAAGTCCAGATATAGTTATTATTTAAATGATTATCACCACACTTTTTTATTTTTTAACGTCAGGAAACGGAGAAAATCATCGCTGAGCTCAATGAGACCTGGGAAGAGAAACTTCGCAGAACAGAAGCCATTAGAATGGAAAGGTAAGACAACGAGATTTTAGTTTTATTTTAATTTATTTTATTGCGTTGTTTAAATTCCTCTTTAAGATTAAACTTTGGAAATACTAAAGATGCCAAAACAGGAACAACATCCTAATAATTCAAGAAAAGAGAAACACAGAAGAATTACAACACACATACAAAAACTTAAATGCTGTAAGATGAGAGAGGTAATATTCAAAGGAAAAAAAGGACAATTTCCTGAATTAAAATTTCTAAATTTCCAAGATTACAGTTGTTCATTTGCAGGAAAATATATTTCTTTAAAAAACAAACTTTTTTTTGTTTTTATAAAAGTTTTATAAAACTTTTATAAAAAATAAAAAAAAGTTCTCTAAGGTTTGTAGTAAATATTCAAAGTTTCAAGGACATTAAAGATATTAAAGTCAAAAACTGCAAAAACTAAAGATAAAAAAAGCATAAGAAACCTTGGTGTTCTGAGATTAAAGTCACAGGCTGGATAATCTCACCTACGCCACAGCGGCCATCAGGAAACGCTATTTGTTCCCCTCAGATGGCTGTAATATGCTGCCATTAATGTGCCTTATTCAAGAATATTAAAATAGAAGTAAAAATTAATCATGCTTAATCTTAATCTTGTTTTCCACACTTCTAAAATGATTGACAATGACAAGCATTAGTATTTCTTCCGGTCCGGCCTAAGGTGAAGCTTTCGGTGATCTGAGTGTAGAGCAATTGGTGCCACCTCCAGAATAATATTGGGTCTATGCTTTATTTAGGAAAGACAACATTTCTCATTGAATCAATGTTGAAAACAAAGTATATTTACATTAAAAAAAATATCTCACTTGGTTTGCTGATGATATTTGTCAACAGAGAGGCCCTGCTGGCCGAAATGGGTGTAGCAATGCGAGAAGATGGTGGAACAGTTGGTGTGTTCTCTCCAAAGAAGGTAAAAGATGTATTCTACTTCTCCAAAACCACTGTGATCTAATCCTTACCGCTTCGATTATTCACTGCTGTGCTTGTTTATTTACCCCCAAAGCCCACTGATAGCCCTAGAAAGCCCGAGCCCGTGTTTATCGACACAGTCGGGCTGTTTTCCCCCAACGAGGTTTGTAGCTCTGAAGTGTTTCAAGTGTCTCCTCTGATGAGTGCTCGAGCCTCGTCGAGGCAGATCAGACGAGAGTTTCACTGTTTCATTAAGTGTTATCCTAAATCTACTTCATTACTCACTTCAAACACTCCCTCACTGCACCGAAGGCAGCCATGGGTGTAAACATGGGGGAAAAGATAATAGCAGTGCCCTAATTTTAGTGATTTATGGCTGCTTGCCTGCAGCCCCAAAACATCTGACTTCATTAAACACTCCATGCTGGGACGCTGTGGGGAGTGACTGCATGGTTTTAACTATTGCTGATTGTTTGATGTTTCTTACTGGGAGAGCTTGTATTTCAGACCACCTGTTGTGCACAGCTGACATATGTTATAATGTAAATAACATATGGATGTTCAATGACTCATGCATATTGCTTACCGAAAGTTAACAGTGAAATATTCCCCGTTCTGTGTCAGACGCCTCATTTGGTGAACCTCAACGAGGACCCTCTGATGTCTGAGTGCCTGCTGTACTATATCAAAGACGGGATCACCAGGTAAGAGGCTGACATTTTACAGCGTAATAAGAGGAAGGTGGTTCTCACCCTGAGAGGACAAAACCACTGCAGGGAAGACCAGGAGAAAATGTGATGTAAACAAATGTGATTTATGTAGAAAGTAAAGTCTGCTGAAGCTGTCGTGCTGACCTTTATTTAATTAAAACCCCACTTGGATCCTTTTTATTATTAGATGCCTCCCATATTATTGCGAATGACTCATAAAAAGTGTGGGGTCAGCTTATGATGAGGGCACACCAGAAAAAGTTTAAGAACTGCTGTATTAGCATGATACTGATTTAAAAAGGACATTGTTTTTATGCTAATCTAACTTCAAGAGACAACAGGCCTGCATTGCAAACATGTTCTCATCACATGGTGTCATATAATGTTGTGTCAGATGCCTGTGCCTCACTGGCACTAAATGTTCTCCGCCAGCGGCCCAAATGTGGCTACATAGGCCACTGAGAGATAATGGTCCCCATTTAGAGACCCACACTTTCCAAAGAAGGTTGGTCAGGTTCATCAGCCAGGTGATTGTGGTTTGTCTCCCCTTTTGATCCTTGTATTGTATTTAGTACTTGTTTTTTTTCACTACATACACTGATTTATTTCATAAATGAATATATTCATATACATAAACTGTATAGGATGGACATGCCATAAAGCTGTAATGGTTTTAATAGGCAGTATGTTGATGAGAATTCCTGTGGTTGCAAAAAGAAGTCAGATTTCTTGGTCCCTGTCCTCAGTGAACACCTTCCTGATGAGATTATGGGCTTAGCTGCTAGCTTCAGTTAGCCACTATGTGATCGTACTCTGTCACACTGATGTGATTTCAAAAGGAGAAGTAGCAGAAGTGTCGCTCTTCAGAAATCACAGCCTGGTTACTAAAAGAAATTCACTCAGCTTGATGTGAGCAGCTTCCTGCCAGAATTCTTTTTTTCTATGGATTCATCAGTCAAAGTAAAGGTATGGCTGGCTAATGATGTAGCCCAGCTAAGGAGGAGGCCATCAGTGATTACTTTCTGTGACACTGTCACTACCATGAGCCTCTTGTCACGGTGGATGGACGCTTTCTTCTGCACAGTGATACGATCTGATGGTGTAGCTTTGAACTGTTCACAGTAACGTTTGTGAATTTTCAAAGTAACCAGGTCATGATTTCTGAAAACAAACATTGTTACTGTGTTTTGGGATTTGGTTTGGTTTCAGGTGCTTTCAGCACATCTGTATAGCCCAACAATTTAGATGAATAAAAAGCACGACATGCAGGAGGAAAAAGACTACATTTGATTTTGAGGTGAACTGTCCCTTTAAATAAAAAAGGACTAAATGTTACATAGATGAAGTGTGTTATTAACTTGCTTTTATATATATTCATATTAACTTTTATGTATTTTAGGGTCGGTCGTTTAGATGCCAGCAGTCGCCAGGATATAGTCCTCAGTGGTCACTTCATAAAGGACGAGCACTGCACCTTCACTAGTTCCACTGGCCCAATGGGAGAGAGTGAGACTTGCAGCTGTGCACATCAAAGTTAAATATTGCTGTAATGTTGTCAGCAAAGCTTCATATGGAATTTTCTTTTCCTGAGCAGCAGTTGTCCTTGAGCCTTGTGAAGGAGCTGAGACATACGTTAATGGAAAGAGGGTGACAGAACCCACTGTTCTGAAATCAGGTTGGTGCAACGTGTGCCATAACTAGCACAAACATTATATGCATAGATTTTGTACTTGTACTCTCTGATCTGATGTGATGCCCTTGCAGGAAATCGCATCATCCTGGGGAAGAGCCACGTCTTCCGTTTTAACCACCCTGTACAGGCCCGGGCTGACAGGGATAAGAACCCATGTGCCGAAACCCCTGTTGAGCCTGTGGACTGGGCCTTCGCTCAGAGGGAGCTGTTGGAGAAACAGGGCATTGACATGAAGCAAGAAATGGAACAGAGGTACGCCTTCAGGAATAAAGATACAGTAAAAGTCCATTTCTGGAACTTAAGGTAACAATTAGTATAAAAAAAGGTCCAGGTTTGCACCAATTCTTCTAGATTTTGCTATACCTATTGCAAGGTGCAATAAGGAAACACTTTGTCCCACTGCACAGATAAACTGAATAAAATGTGTATTTTTATTCTTAGAGTAGATTTGAATGATTGATTGTTGTTCCTATATTTCCTGTTTTACGTCAGAAATCAATCCCTGTCTATAAATAGTCCTGTCGTCACCTCAGCCTGCTCATTTTTGTTTGCTCTGTTTGTTCCTGCCACATTTTTGTGCTTTGGATTACATTGTTTCCTCATGTTTTGGATCTTCTTTTTTTTCTTTTGGACTTTGTTCTAATTTGGGCGCAGCAGTTAAGCTTGCGTCTTAATTTAACAGTCTTCGAGGGTACCACTCCAGAGACCCGCAGCTATTTCTAAAACTGCATTCAGTTACTTTTTAATATTTTCTGAGTCTGAGTCTTCTGAGCAATTTATGAGCCAGTCTTCATGTATTAGAGAAAAAGCATCAGATAAAGCATTGAGGTTAAAAACAGTGTAACCATGGACTCTTACATGGTGTGCATAATCTATATAGCTTTATCCCCACTGCTGCTACTGGCTGCTTTGTAACCCACCTCTAATCCAGTTCCTCATTTTCATGCTCAAATCAAAGTCATATATATCTACTGTCATTGAAGTCGGATCTTTTCTGTGCTGGGGTCCTGCATCCAGGAAAGGTGGAGAAGTCAGGACATAACTTCCATATCTCTAATGTAGATGACTACAGATGGAGTGAGAATTTGCTTTTGTGGTCCTGTCTGAAGCAGTGACCGAAGTTGCCACTTTACCCAAGCCTGAGGCTTCTTTCTCAGTATCAATGGCTTTAAAACACACAGTGAGGTAGGGCATTACCCACCTACATCAAGTCTTTTTTTGTTCACTTTGTTTTTTTGTCCTCAGGCTGCAGGAGCTGGAAGATCAGTATCGCAAAGAAAGAGAGGAGGCCAGCAACCTTCTAGAGCAGCAAAGACTGGTATGGTAATGAGAGTTCAGCTTTGACTGCTATCAGCAGTAATCATTAAAGTAAAACCATCAAAAATTCTATCTGAACTGTCTTACACACAGATGTAGCTGCAGTTTGTATATTTCAGTATTGGTATCTACTGTTTACATTATATAAACTGTACTATCAGTGAGCGGATTTACAGAAAATACCAAATAAAAAAATTATGATGGTGTTTTCAGATCAAATGTGAAGCAAAGTTCACCTTACTGGAATTTCTAGGCAATTTTGCAACTCCCAAATATTACTCAGCAGGAGAAAGGAGAACCGATACCTGGGATTACATAACAGACACATATTTTTTAAAAAAAAACAAAAAACAAAACAAGATTTAATCAGCAGATCTGACAGCCCACAAGCTACAGCATTTCATTTCTGATTCTCTGTGGCACGAGGAGAATCCACAGTCTGTGGGAGAATTTTATCTGGCAGGATCTGCAGCATAATATCATAAAGTATTTTTAATTCACATGGATGTGTATTTGACAGTATTTATATGCACAGTTGTACGCCGCGACACATTTTTCTGGGCTTTAATTCTAAATGCAGTCTTTTGGGGCCTTTCATTTCACTAGTCATTAATGATTAATTCAACCTGAATGGCTTGTTTATGTATTTAAAACTTTAATTATAAATTATTAGGATTATGAAAGCAAGCTGGAGGCTCTTCAGAAGCAAGTGGACCGTTATAACCCAGAAGGCCCTGAAGAAGAGGAGGAACCGGAAGAAGAAGGTAAAAACAATTAATACTAAGACAGATTTATAAGTCTATATTAGGGATAATCATACCTTCATCGAGTCCTCTTTCTGGCCTACAGTGCAGTGGACGGAGAGGGAAAGAGAGCTGGCTGTGTGGAGTTTCCGTAAATGGCGATGCTACCAGTTCACCTCGCTGCGTGATCTCTTATGGGGAAATGCCATCTTCCTGAAGGAGGCTAATGCGATCAGTGTCGAACTTAAGAAGAAGGTTAGAAATGTCATTTAGACTGATGAATATATCCACAGGTCTACGCTGTGAAACGGCTCTTTGAGCATACTCGTTCTTCCCCTGCAGGTGCAGTTCCAGTTTGTGTTGCTGACAGACACTCTTTACTCCCCCCTGCCTCCTGACCTGTTGCCCCCAGAGGCAACTAAAGACAGAGAGAAGCGACAATTCCCACGTACTATTGTGGCGGTGGAGGTGCAAGATCAGAAGAATGGAGCAACTCACTATTGGACATTAGAAAAACTAAGGTGGCTGAACATACACGCAAGTCTTTGATGAACAAAATCGTAAACTTATCTTGGTAATCAAAAATTCATTAGGTGTCGCACTGAAACTCTTGTTTTAGTGCTCTTCAGTTTGTAAGTCAGTTTCTTTTATTGCAAACATTCGCTTCAATAATTGCACTTCCAAATTAAAAATATCTACCAACCTAATATCGAACAGCAATAAAAAAAGAGCCATGCTTCAGTGTCTTCCTCAGTGCTATTTTATTTCTTCCAAGCTGTTTACTTTTTCTCATTAACACCCTGCTCTGTGTCTTTTTTATGTCTTCATTGTTGGTGCTTTCTGCAGGCAGAGGCTAGATCTGATGAGAGAAATGTATGATCGTGCTGCTGATGTGCCCAACAGTACTGTGGAGGACTGTGAAAATGTGATGACGGGAGGTGACCCCTTTTACGATCGCTTCCCCTGGTTCCGCCTGGTTGGCAGGTAAATACTGAGTCCAACACATCGGGACAGGAATGAGAAATACAGAGGCCAACAAGACCAGTATTAGCCATAGCTATCAGAAATTTAGGATATAGGGAGGCTGCTGTCCACTTTTCCACTTGCAGGACATCGTTCCTGAGAGTTAAAGTTCCAGGCACTTGGGTTGGAAATGCGGCTTTCCTGTGTGTGGAGTGTACTCCAAAATGACGGGGACACCTGCATTAATTATCTGCAGTTCATTCAGTCTTGTGTCCCTACTTGTCAAACTTTGTATTTCAGCCACTATAAAACCTGCCAGTACAAACTGAAATAACAGTGTAGCGATTAATACATTTGATAACAATACATTCCAGCTAATGACAGAGCTTTCTACATCAATGGGAAAATCAGCTATGCAAGATTTGAGAAAAACATTTCGTCAGCCCTCCTACTCAAAACCTGCTGTTTCTTTCTCTTCCACCTTGGCACATGGCCTCCCAGTGTCTCTCTCTCGCTCTCGCTCTCTCACTTGCACCTGTTATGTAATATTAAGCGTCTCACTCCAGCCTTTAATGTTATTCAGCTCCTGCAAGACATGGAAACATTGGAAACTGTGCCCTTGAGCTGTTCTTTTTCAGGTTTTCAATCTGTCTGTCCATATTATAAAGGTGAAAGCAGGTGTATATTTATCCAGATGCACAACATTTGATGTTTTCAATGCTTTAGTTTTAATAGTTTACTGCTATTTTATACTACATCCACTTGCTGTTTAAAAAATGTAGCTGCTGTCGAGAACTGATGGGTTGAATTAATACATAACTGAATACAGGCTCACTTTGTACATATGTGGCTGATGTGATAACTCAAAGTGACTGGCCATTTTCAAATGAAATCTGTATGACGTTTAATTTCTGTCATTACCTTTAGATGCAATTAAGGAAGCCTGTGAGCAAATGATCTTATTTCACACACATAAATATTCACTGCCAAAGCTCAGTTGCAGCATATAGTGTACCATTACAGTAATCCAGTGATTACTGGGAGTAAATCCAACTGTAACAAGTGCCTGTTAACAGGTTGGTCACCAGAATTCATTTTGTGAGCAAATATGGTGTCAAACAGCACTGTCTACAGCAGGAGTGGGGGCACTCCAGGGCTCAGTGGCTGGTGTCCTGCAGGTTTTAGATATCACCCTGGGTCAACACACCTGAATCAAATGATTAGTTCATTATCAGCCTCTGGAGAACTTCAAGACATGTTGAGAAAGTAATTTAGCCATTTAAATCAGCTGTGCTGGATAAAGGACACATCAAAAACCTGGACACTGGCCGTTGAGGACTGGAGTTGGACTCCCCCGGTCTGTAGCACTGAAGCTGTCATTTAAGGAGGTTCTTTGCATGTGATCCCTTAAAAAGTGATCAATCATGGGACAGAGCTCCTTTGATGATTGGCTCACTTGGCATGATTAACTTTGGTTCCTTCCCCTGCTCACTTTTTTTAACAGTTTAGATTACAGTTACCTGCAAGAGCGCCCATTCCTTGAATTGCCTTCTCTACATTTTATTCATCTTAGCCTCTTCTTTTTATACGCATGTGTAAAAATCTGTACTTAAAACAGTAAATTTGAATTCCCCTGATACTCACCAAGCAGAAACTTACATGTGCGGTTAAATCTGCGCATGAGGACTGGGCAAATTACGGTGAATACCTGTGTAGGTGAAATAATGCTTGTTTTTGACATGCCTAAAGTTAAAAATGTGTCTATCTATAGCCCACGATCAGCACAACATTTGTAGCTTTCTGCAGTCTCCCATCTGTCTTCTCTTTCTCTGCTCTTTGCTCAACACTGAAACAAACAATAAAAGACTGACTCAGAGGGAAGAAGGTTTTCTCCTGTGGATCAGTGCGTCCCTTCTCTCTAACTGTACTAACCTAGTTCCCATGTCTCTGGCTGCACCAGAAATCCCATTTTCAACACATGCATGAGCGAGCGCATGAGTGACCCCACCCCATCCCCGACCCTTTCCACCTCTGAAATTACTGAGCTGGCTGACTCGCAGCGGGAGGGTCGCGGGGAGGAGGAGGAGTTGGAGGATTTGGACGACCTGGACGATGATATCTTTTTGGACGACCCGAGCTCCGAGCTCGGGGTAGAGGATGATGATGATGATGATGATGATGATGATGATGATGAGAGAGAGCTCTGCCGAGGCTCCAGCGAAGGCCTGGATCCCTTTTACGACCGCTCACCATTATTCAGTGTAGTGGGAAGGTTGGTGAGGTTTCAGGAGCATGCTGATGGAGGAAACTAGCTCTTTCACGCTGAGATGCAGGGTCCCTTTCCCTTGGCAAACATCAGGGTAGATGGAATAGTATTCTTGGAAATGCAGTGAATAATAGCGTGTATATCTTCACATAGCCCTCCTTGAGTTGTGGGCTGGGTATGCATAAATACACAAAATATAACCATAGTGTGCTTTGTTATTTTATGTGGCAAACATGGGGTGTGATCTTAAAGTGACTCTCTCCATAAAAATTAAAAAGCAAAGCATACCTAAGTTGATTTTTGCCAAACACCCCTGTAAGGTTATCTCTTTGTGCACCTCTGGATAGCTTCCAGCATGACAGCAATGTTTATATGACCAAGACTGTCTTTATTTGGCCCAAAACCACAGTTCAGCTTGTTCTCAGATGCCACTGGATGTTAAAGTAAAACTTTGCATTGCCAGTCAGTGCACTGTAGCTGGTGTACTTTGTGAATTTGACATTTTGAAGCTACATTATTTGCATTTTGGCGGCTGCCATGTTGTTGTTTATTTGGACCCCATATTGATCATATCGGAGGTTGTAATGCTTGAATTCATTAAAATTAGTACAGAAATTTATTGGATGGTCTTTATCACAGAGGTCAACATTAAAAAGGCTCTGAAGTAGCATTTTAACATGGGAGTCAGTAGGGATTGACTTGCTTTTGGAATCAGGATAAGTGGTCACTAATGGAACTGCAAGTTTGGCCCTTGGATGCTGGCTCATGTTTTCAGCCCTGCAGCATTTCCTAATCCAGGACACTGACTTAGTTCTTGGACACTCTTCCACTGAAAAAAGCTCTTTGGTCTTTGGGTTGTAGATAGAGATCAGCTCTCTTTATTAAGGATCATCCTGAACATGAACGTAGTGACCTAATTTTCATAAAGTCCATGGCAAATCTTCAGGTGAAAGTGGTCATCCATCAGCCATCCAAAGAGTGATTCAAATAGAAGCTACACTGCCAGCACTCTAAGGTTACACAAGGAGATGACCTTGAAGGGGAAATTAATCAAACTGAAGTCAGATTTTTATAGATGAAGTCACTAAATAAGTGCACCTGAATTATGTTGCTCTTTGGTCTTCTCCAAATTACTGTCCACCTCAGAGATCTGCTGGTTCAGTGTTAACACTGGCATGAAGCATTTCAGTTGGAAAGCTGCAACCGAAATTTGGAAAACAACTTTTCCTACATTTTTTTTAATTGTGGTATTTCCTTTTACTGATTTCCTTAAACACTTGCTTACTGCTCAAAGTCAAACCAGACCCTTTAGTGTCTTGCCTTAGCTGTCACAGTATCTCTAAATCTTGAGCTGAAAATGTTGAGTACCACACTATGCGGACACTGGAGTAGACATTTCTGGACTTTTCCTTTTTATCTTTAATCTCTCTTTCAACTAAATGCTTATTTTTCTTTGCTTTTGGAGTGGGGGTATACAGTGGCTCGATGTGTCTCACTCTTACTTAAATTCTTCCTAAATTCAGTCCAGAGTGGGTCCATTTATGCTTCTTGTTTCTATGCAGTGCTGACGCTGAACGGCTGTTTGAGGTGTATGTCAAATCAAAGTAGTGGCTTATAAAAAAGAAAAAGGGCTTTTGACTCCCCAAAGCACTGATGCATCTCAAGAAGTAGATAGAGGTCTGATGTGCATAGTAAGAGGAAGAAACAGCGAAATGTTCTCACCGTGCTGTGAAACCTGAATACAGTTGAAAGAATCTGAAAATTTTTGAGCTAAGTGGTGTTCGAACAAAGACTCAAAATCTCAAGATGAAAGAGCTGGTTTCTGCAGCAGCTGTCTCTCTTAGGCATGCCAGAGCACAAGTCTTTTCATTTTGACCTTTTTTTTTTTTTGTCGATTTTTACGTGAATACGTCTGATGATGAACTCGTACCCCTATTTTGTACAAATTACCCCTCCGGCCCAGGAGGTGCACTTTGATTTCTGATGTCATTCGTTGGTTTTTGATGTAGCATACAATCTATGAAGCTGTTGGCAGTTTTGATTCAAGCTGAGCCATGTTCCGTATGATGATTTCTGTTCCATTTGCTTTTGATTCCTTTTGAGTCAAAAAGTTGAAAGCATTTTTGTTCACCTTTTTTGTCCTGAGCATGCCTTATTTGCACCTCACCAATCTTGTCATAAGCCTGTCGTTTTTTACGCTGTCCACCCTTAAATGTCTATCCCTATTGGCTTGTGAAAAATGTGGATCAGTTATTCTATTATTTTTAAGAAAAGCATTTCTAATGCAGCTCTTCCCAAATTTCTATTCTCAAAGAAACATAGTCTTTAGCAAAGTGCTTTAAGTTCTCAGTTTGGCTTTATACATTATATAGAGTCATTGTCATGATAGCATGTGATCATAAAGCAATGCATTAAAATGAATTCATTGCTTACGACGAAAACATCTGCTATCCAGCAAAGTCTTGAGCTGGGTTCTAATTTTTAAAGTTAATAAAAAGAATTGAAAGTTTAGCCTTACATACATGCTCCTTAGCCTCACTATCCTTCATCAGTACAACCCAAAAGTTTAGGGTTATTGCATGTGACCCATTATTGACCTGATTATATAGTCATTATTGAATGATAAGGATAAGCCCACTCCAAAGCAATAGTAAAGGGCAGCCATGGCCGTCGCAAGAGCAGTCCCAGCTTCTGTTTGGTTGCTTTGCAGTTCTGTGTTCTGTTGTCCAGTCCAGTGATTTTTATCAAATGTGGCACGTCTCCTTGGTCTGGTTCTTGTTAATGCTTTTTTTTTCCCTTTTATTTCTCTCTTTGGCTTCCCGTGCAGGGCTTTTGTTTATCTGAGTAATCTGCTGTACCCGGTTCCGCTCGTCCATCGCGTGGCCATTGTCAGTGAGAAGGGAGAGGTAAAGGGCTTCCTTAGGGTGGCAGTACAGGCCATATCAGGTAAGGCTCAAATCCTCAGACTCACGATCGTTGAAGCGATTGACGGGACAAGCTGTGTGTGATTTCTGGAGGGAGTGAGGTGAAGGTTCTCTGTGTTTCCCTCCAGCTGATGAGGAGGCTCCCGACTACGGCTCCGGAGTGAGGCAGTCGGGCACTGCCAAAATCTCCTTTGAGGATCAGCAGTATGAAAAGGTAGTGAAAAACACACTATAGTTATTACAGTTAGTTTTCACAGTGTAGGATTTACTTCTATATACTGTTGCCGTCACAATTTTTGTGATTTTAGGTGAGTTGAATTACACGCTGTTCTAAGGTCTTACATTTGTAACATTTTTGTATAACTCGATGTACCCTCTCAATAGATTTAGGGTTTTCTGGCCATACAAACATGCTGGTCAGTGGCTTTGACCAATCACTTATCTCGAATGTAAAGAAAGGATCCTGCCATCATACACCACTGTGTCACCAGTGTACACGTTTACTTCACTCAGATGGCACCAAACTGTTACTTTTGCTAATATTCCTGCCTTCTCTCCAACTGATAGATGTATTTTGTTTTTTTCAATTTTAGAAGAACTTCTTTTACCATTTAAGTTTCCTTTGATGCATTTTCTGTATTTATAGAAACATCCTCCAAGTACAAGGGCCAAACTCTGAATCATCTTCAGACCTTTTATACGCTTATTTTATGAAGAAATTACCAAGAAATAACCCATACCCATCATTAAAATTGCCTTTGAGAGAATTCCAACTACATCTGAAATATGTGACTATGTTTAGAAATGTGTTATTTCTCTACAATGAATGCAATAGTGGTGCTCAAATGAAGTGGAAAATGCAAAATAAAGCCCTCGTTATCATATACAATAAGTGAAAAATGTTTTTGTAGACAACTAAAGGAGTAAATGATGTAACTGTTTAAAAATCTGAGGACTGTTCACCACTCTGCTGTGCTCCTGTAGTTCCAGTCAGAGTCCTGCTCTGTAGGACTGTCCCGCACTGGGATTTCTCAGGAGGAGCTTCGGATCGTGGAGGGAGAAGGGCAGAACGCAGAGATGGGGCCGTCAGCTGATGAAGTCAACAACAACACATGTGCGGGTAATCGTATTTTACGAGTGAATGGACACATGTTCTGTGTGTTTGCTTGTGTCTGTATGTGTGTGTATGTCTGTGTGTGGTCTCCTTTTTGGCTCAGCAGACTGAAAATTCACAGGAAAGACTTTAAAAGAAATCATGTTAGATAGGCTTGGATTTGGAGGGCAGACAGTGGCAAACGGTGGCTCATGTGGAAGATGTATGAAGATGTATAAATTAGCCCAAATGCTTGTCTCCAATTTCTTGGTAACTCCAGTCCATTCCTGGTCTGTTCCAGTAGAATTTATTGACAGTCGGCTCAGCATCTACCTGGAATGCAACCTAGCCAACAAAAACATTAAAAAGAAGTGTCTAAACATCACTGAGATCTGTTGATGAGTAAAAAGGTGAAAAACCTGTCTTTTGAAGTCATTGAAAACACATTTCTTTACTCCTAAAGAAAATTTACTACTAAATGTGGTTGAAATCTAAAAGTGGTTGAAGTCCTCACCGACCTCCCCTCAGACAACCAGGAGATTTGAACCCAGATGCTTCTTGCTCTTTTTTTTATTAACACTAATGAGATCATCTAATGGTCAGAATGATGCTGTTAAGTATTCTGCACCAGACATTTTATAATAAAAAAGATGCAAAAAACAACCAAAAAAGCAAAAACACCCACTAAATCTAATAAAAACACACAAAGGAGTAAAAGGAGAGGCCTTTTTAAACAAGCAGGGATTTATATAACATCCATACAGTGTTATACAATCTTGCAGTGTCTTTCACCTCACGTACATGTACGTAGTACTTACCAAAGTCAAAGTGTAGAATTAACAGTGTCTGAATTTCTTGATCAATAAAATAGATCACTCTAAGTAGATTGATGATTTATTCATGGCCTTTAGATCAAAAAACTAGCATATCAACACTGAAAAGTCAAGACCCTTGTTACTGGGAAACCTTTAGGTTGTCCAATATCCTAGAATAATAAAGCTTAATCTTTAAAAATTAAACATGAAGGTCACGCCCACCAACCAGATTTAGGTTAGGAAAGAACATTCATGGATGTCTAGTCCTCAACGAGAATTTCCAACCTGCGTTTATTTTTCTTTTTTCCTTTTTCTTTTTTGTGGTTCCTTGCAGCTGGATCAGATGAGGTGGAGAATCCACTGAAGGCTGGTCTGGATGGAGCACTCGATACAACTCTGGAACATCTCAGGATCGGTAATATTTTTACCTTCAGAGTGACTGTCCTGCAGGCCTCCAGCATCTCTGCGGAATATGCCGACATCTTCTGCCAGTTCAAGTAAATTGCTCTTCCCAATATTTCCGCTGGAGATTTGTGATCGTTGGTGTTCTTTTTACTGTTTTACATACAAACTTTGCATTGATTACTTTGTCTTTAGCTTCATCCACCGCCATGATGAGGCCTTCTCCACTGAACCCCTAAAAAACACAGGCCGCGGCCCTCCTCTCGGCTTCTACCATGTGCAGAACGTAAGAAGAGTCGGCTCGTGTCCTGCACAGCTTTATGCATTGTTCTGTATTTAATAGGTTAGGCACTAAAATGGATTGTTTTTTGTTTTTGTAGATTGCTGTTGAGGTTACTAGATCATTCGTGGACTACATCAAGACTCAGCCAATTGTGTTTGAAGTCTTTGGCCACTACCAGAAGCAGCCTTTTCTTCCTCTTTGTAAAGATGTCATGAGGTACTGTGTTTGCTTATAGCATTTACTGCATTTATACACATACTATGATGAATATGCTTGCAATTCTTTATATTCATACGTAACTGTGTGTTGTGACACCCAGTCCACTACGCCCCTGCAGGAGACAGTTTCCACGAGTGATGCCTCTCTCCAAACCAGGTAAATAAGATGCTCTGCTCGTGTCTTATCATTTATTTTTGTTGTATTGCTGTTGTACTCGTCTGCTTGCAAGTCGTATCATCTCAGCTTCATGTTGTTGGGTGCGAGCAGTGGATCCTGACGCCTCGCCGGACCGGGAGAAATCGCTGGAGCTCATCCGATACTTGGTCCCAGATGTGTTCAATGGGTCACTTGTGGACTCGCTGTCAGGCCACGCTCTGTCTGCCGCTGGCTTAGCTGCTTCCTTCCTGCTGGAAGGAAACGAGCAGGCTCAGCTGCCAGCTCCACCCATCTCTATCTGTTCAGTTATTAAAGCTCAGAAGCCGGGTTGGTCACTGATTGGTCAGATCCAAGAGAATCCTGCAACTGGAAACCCTTTTTTATATCGAGTGTTTTTCTTGGTGTGACTTAAATGAGCCAAGTGCATTTTAAAAGCACTAAAAGTATCTCTTCCAGCTCTAGGATTTTGTGACTGAGTCGCCTTGTAGATGAAGCACTAACACAAATATTCAGTGTCAGTTACTAGTTGCTACTTGCTGTGTAGTAAAACTCAAGTTAATCGATATAAAAGGGGAGTTTTCATGTGTCAGGATTCTGCAGTTGGATTGGCTCTCTTGTACTGTGTGTTCACTGTTATGTGGTGCATTCTCCTTGCAGTTCCCTCTTTGAGCTCCTCTTGATTGGATCACAGTGCCTTTCTTCTATATTAGTCTGCCACGAATGAAACTCTCTCCGATGGGAATGTTAACTATAATGTACATTGTGGTGCATATGCATATATAACACACCTGAGATTTATCAATCCCTGGGAATAAATTCACATGTTATAATAGGAAAGCAATCAATCCAAGGAGGTAGAAAACAAACAGATGAAGAATTAAATACAGCAAAAAGACAACCATTTTACAGGCTACAAATTTGTCTCACCTACTTTTAACCTGTAACAGTACAGATATTTAAAGCAGTATATGTCTATCTGTAGTGTCACATCAGTTTTGAGCTGGTTACATTTTTAAAAACATTTTAATGAACAGCTAAAAACTAAAACCTGAACAATATTGGTGTTAGTTATCCACCAGATTGTTATTTCAGTTATTCTGTTGGCTAAGAATTATATTGCATCTCTAAAAGTGACACTTGAAGCACCTTTAATATATAAAATACATAGTAACTCCCACAAGTATGCATCACATTATACTGTATTTATTCTTAGAAAATTGATTTCTGCTTCAGCTTGGGACAAATTTAAGGGATGCATGGATTTTTTTTCTTTACCTCTGAACTGCTTTTGGGCACCAGTTGAAATTAAAGGATTTCTTTAACTCTTAGTCAGTCTTATTAACATTATAGACTTACTGTACAAAATGTTACTATTATCCATCAGGCGACCAAGCTTTTATAGAGATTAAGATGTCTGGCATTGTAAATATCCCCACTTGGTCACCTGAACGTTAAAGTGCTTTATAAAGACATATATATGCATTCTCTCACCTAAAGGATGGTTCAGACTTTTATTTCTTTACACAGAGCGGTCAAAAATGTGCTAAATGAAAAAAAGCTTCTTGTACAGTACTGAGTGGGTGCTCCTTCCCTGAATCACTGATTTCCTTTCTTCTCCCATTTCTCTTTCCTTTGTAGGGTAGGTCCTTTCTCCCTGCAGTTAGCTGCTAGCCTGCGCTAGGTTTACCCCTATTGTGACTTCTTGTATAATCCTCTTTCTAATCTTTTTCAACACAGTACCTGCCACCAAACTGACGGCCATGACCCGTCCACAGGCAGGACCCTGTCACTGTAAATATGACCTCATGGTTTTCTTCGAGATCTGCGAGCTGGAGGCGAACGGGGAGTGAGTATCCCGAGTCAGCAGAAAATTGGGAGTATTTGTTGGGCCACAGAAATCTCTGAGGCTCTCTTTTTTTCTGTCATTCAGCTACATCCCTGCAGTAGTGGACCACAGAGGAGGAATGCCCTGCCATGGCACATTTCTTCTGCACCAGGTATCTTAGTCAGGCTGGGAGCAAATATGTTGCAATCAAATCAACTGTCATCAAAGGATCTTTTATACCTGAAGACATTCGCATTTGCCCTGTCAGAGCAGAGCTATGAGAGGGCAAATGCAATTCTACCCAGATTGATGCAGCACGAATGACGCACATCAAAAGCGTCTCCAGTTTGGTCTTAGTAATTGTAGACAGCCTGTTCAGTGGATGTGTCACGCTCTGCAACCTTTGAAAAATGTCTTAAAAGCATATTCTGTGTGCTCACTCTATCCTTGTTCCTTTTTCAGGGCCTCCAGAGGAGAATCACCGTTACTATTGTACATGAATCTGGAAATGACATAGAATGGAAGGAAGTCCGTGAGCTTGTTGTGGGTAAGACTGATGTTCAGCTTCTCTAAAGCTGAATACATTTTACCAATAGTCTGTATGAGCTGTTCTTACAGGCATTTCTGCTTTCCCAGGACGTCTGCGCAACACGCCCGAATCTGATGAGACCATCATTGATCCTAATATTCTATCTCTCAACATTTTATCTGTTGGATATGTCAGGCCCCTGCACGATGACAGGTATGTACTATGCTTAATGTTTGAAGCAAATATTTTTCATTTAAATAGCAAAATAGTTGCAAACTACTGTGTTCCCATAGCTTTTTGAATTATGTGGCAGCTCAGCTGAATTTGGAAACCACTTTACGGTTCTGATGTTTGTGGGTCTTATCTGAGAGTGTGCGTTACTGCTGCGGCAGCTCCTGCACTGGAACACGACACACGGCAAATGCATGGCACATATGGGGTGACCAGGTGTTCTCAAACTTAATTTTATTAACCCGTTCTCCCACATTTTGATTAGCTCATGTTTACCAGAGTCAACAGATGCTTGCAGGGAATATGTGGCTTGAAAATAAGTTTGCTGATTTATGGATGAATTTCCCATAAAACCTAAAAATGATTTGGAAACAGAATAGCAGCTGAAACAGATGCTAACAGTTTTAATGCTTTCTGGAAACGACAAATGAAATAAACAAGTATGTAAAGACCATTAAAACAAGCCTTTGCTTCCATTTGTGCTCGTAAAAAGTAAACCATATTTGTTCTTCAATTACAAGTGAGATTTATGAAATAATTTACAGCCCACAAAATCTTTTAATGACATCTAATCTGCTGGGATCTGGTCACCCTAAGCATATAAGTTGTAAAAAGCATGGCAGCAGAGTCACAGCTTGAATGTTATGTAAGGAAACTCTGCAAATTCCCTTTGTGTTCTTATCGTTATCACTGTAACTGCATGAATATGCTGTAGATCCCTCTTTCTGACAACAGCAGGTCAGATTCAGAGTCACTTTCCTTGAGTTATTTAAGAATCTCTTTAAAGCTACACTTACCACACCAGTAGCTCTGAAGTCACTCGTCCATGCTGGCTGCGCGACCCTCCTTGGTGTTAATATATGCTGCTGTTGGTTGTCTCATTGCACCTACATGTTGCATCTCACTGTGTTCATCACCTCTCATTTAAATCCTCTCATCACTGACCCCAGTGTAGGTTTAAAAAGTGTTTTTTATTAACCGTGCACCTTAATTTTACTCTGTGTAAACAGATCAGTATAAAATAGAAATGCATGCTCTTCTAACTTTTCCACTGCCATGCATATCTTTACTTAAATATAGAATCACTAACACACCTTTAACTATTTTGTTGTTGTTTTCTACTCAGTGCAGAGTCATTCATTTGACATGCAGCATTTCATCATTTTATTAAATCACCTGATTGACCTTCACTTTTCTAATGACCCTGGAAATGATGTTTCTGGGTGTGATGTACAACTGGAGCCTAGTTTATAAAGAAAAACAGAAGAACAGAGAAGGTGTATTGTTCACTTAATGAGTAATGGCATAACTAACACAAAGTTCACAGGAAAGAGGTTAGAATGAGCTGTTGTGAATGTATAACAAAAAAATATGTTCTGACTTTTATACATGCAACTTTTTGTACAGACACTCATTTTATGTATCATTTCCTTGCCTCCTTTTCTTGCATTTTATCACAGATGCAAACCAAGGAGGTAAGAGAGGAGTTGAGCCAACATGCATTTAGCAGAATGAGAGGCTGCAGAAACATCATTTTAAAGTGATTTTAATTCAAAGTGTAGTACAGAAGCAGTATCTGGCCATTGCTTTGTTACAGCCTGCCACTGGTATTATTTGATAGCGGTACACATTGTGAGAAGAGTGTAGAGATATCATGCATTTTTTTTGTAATAAGTAGTAATCACTTCACCTGTTATGGTTTTTACATACCTTTCAAGCTCAAAAGACTTCCATAAATTACATAAATGTATGTGCTTCCTCCTCCTTCCTCTCCTCTGTGTGTTTTACAAATTGAGACATCCTTCAGGACTGATTTAATGTGGAGTGTCTGGCAGAAGGATGGAGGAGAGAGGAGTCGAGGAAGTGCAAAACAGAGAAATGTAAAAAGCCCAGAGTTTGCACAGCTTAATGTTAGCATCCCACCAGTAGAGGGCAGTAGGTTTCTTGTTTACAACTGATGAGAATTTAGGATTAAACAGCAATTGATTTGTAGATGGACCATTCGGTTAATAAATCAAGTAATTGCTGCCATAAAAGATATTATTAACTCTTTTTTTTTTTGCTTCTTTATTAATATCTAAAATTACTTAACTCTCATCCTTGTATAAATCTTATGGTAGTAACTCTTATGTAGTAGTAGACTCCATAAGTATATTTACAATATAAGAAATATGAATGATAATATTGGAATTATTCACATAAAAAGTCCTGAAAATTATAGCGCATCTTGACCCTGCTTTTTTTTCTCATTGCTTAATCTCTCTTGTTTCCCGTATCGCCAAGAAATCTAACAACATCAGCAGCAGCATCGTCCAGATTTGGGTTTACTGCGTTTTAATGTAAAGCAACCGAGAGCTCCATACTGTACTAACCTCTAACCTCTGCTGGATCAGCCTTTCTTTAACCCTATGGGCTCAGTAGCCAAAACTTAAGCTTAATGGCTAAGCGCCAGATCGAGCTGTGGTCCAGTGTGGTCAGAAACTAACATCACAGTATATGATGCTAACATTTTTCTCCCTCCAGTCCACTAACAGAATGTTGTTTTTTGCTTTTGCAGACAGTTTCTTGATTCGGACATGCCTAGGTATATTATTTGCCTCTGTTTTCATGCTCTTAAGTTACACGAACGCCTCATCTTTCTAACGTCCTCCATACCCTGTCATCTCTTTTGTGATTTTGTTACCTTCTCTCTGACTCTGTCATTGCTGTCAGCATTTCAATTGTGCCTCTTTGCTTCTCTGGCTGTGTTGGATGTGTGTTTGAGCTTCTGTCAGGCCGATGACGGACGGGATCTGCATGGCTCTGCTTTGTTTCGCGTGGACTGTCCTTGGCTGTGTCTCTGCTGGAGGTGTCGTGGGGCCAGTATCAAACTCTCGGTTTCCACTTCAGCTGATGAGGCAGATTTTAGAACACGAATGTTTACTCTGTCTTTAGCCTGTTTGTTTACAAATGCTCCTTTATTTGCAGATTACATTGAGAAGGCAGTGAAGTAAAACTATAAAGAAGGTGCATTTGTACTGGTTACCAGTAGAGGGTGGTAGGAATCCATCACAGAAACATAGCCTAATTCTACAAAGGCAAACTGATATTTAAAAGAGGCTAAAAAGAGGTTATTTTCTGCTTTTGTCTCTCAACACTGTTTCTTATGTTCATTTTTTTGGCCTTTACAGTGAAGGAATATTTTGAATCCATGGATATGATTTTGTTAGTCACCTCTAATCCCAAGAGTCAGAGTGTTTCCCATCAAAGCTACAGAATATTAACAGGAACACTGTTCGCCCGCTATTTCTCAAGTGCTGCAATATGGATCACATCATTTACAGTACGCGCTCTGGCACTGATACTCCAGTGCGGCTATTAAAATGTATTCCAGTGAACCATTACCTCACCAGTAGCACTTTACACAAAATTGCTGCAATGTTGTGAATATTTTTAAATCCTACTCGTACCTCAGCGGAACTCTGCCAAACACCAGAAACAAATGGTTCCTCACATGTTATGCCAGGAGCATGACTTCAGTGCTGGCTCCCACATTTTTAGGAGGCAGTAAAGTGCAGAGAAGCACATGTTGGAGGGGTGCGGGGAGGAAATTGCTTCGTTGTAGTGTAAGCGAACAGGTTTCTACTACTGGGGAAAAAAGTGTGCATGTGTGAAGGTGTGAATTTGTATGAACTTGCTAATTGCTGGCAACAGAAAAGGCACCTCTCCTTTATTCACGCGAGCTCTGCGCATAGATGTTTGCTTTCTTCTCAGTGACACTCTGTTCACTTTCCCACAAGGTCACCTCAGTCCAAGGCCAGTGGGCCCAACATCTGAACCTCATGAAGAGTCCGTACGGCCTCTTTTCATGGCTTACAGAAACATTAGTTTCCTTTTACAGTTCTTGCTTGGATGATCTTTTTTAGATTTAAGGCAGCACCGGGCTACAGGCCAGAATAATAAGTGACTTCAGTGTGTGATTATTTCCCCTCGAGGGACACGAGGAAAAACTGTGTACATTAGTGTATGGAGTAAATCATCGGAGGAATAGAAAGCAGCATTGTTGTGCTTGAAGAATGGTCCCGTGCTGTTATTTGACCTTCTCTGACGTACAGTAAATCAGCCGTCCTCACAGAACCTCTCCGCTCTATCTGATGAGCTTTGATGAGTTATCAGTGTGAAAAAAAGGCAAACAGCATCCCAGCCACACAAGCACATAAGCACAACATACTTCCTGACTCTCACTGTCTATTCTTTTGCTGATTTCCTCTTTCTCACAGCATTTCCCTGGGAGTTGACCATAGGTATTTCACTGCCCTGTCCCTCATGTCTACCTGCTCGTGCCTCATCCCTCCATTGCCTTTCATATTCATCTCTGCTCTCTTTGCTTTTCTGTGATGTTTTATACAAAGCAAACATAACTCAGTCTGTTTGTTGCATGCAAAATGATCATATAAGCGCTTTTGTTTTATTGAAAACTAGAGAAATATTTACTAAAATGTTTATATATTGCACAAGTGGATCAGTAAATTGATTTTCTTCTGTTTATAAATCATGGGATTTTGGGATTAATTTTGGGATTTATCCAGTTTTTTATGTTTACATCTGCAGAGTAAACTTTAGCATGGGTTAAGCTCTGGCAGCTAATCTGTTGTTTTAGTAGAGGAACTTGAGTTTCGACTGCTGATTCAGTTTCTTGGCTTCTTGTCTCATCGGACCACCTCAGAACTTTCTTCCGGTTTGAGGCTGCTTGGGATAGCTCAATGCACAACTCCCTGCTCCTAAACCGAGTCACTCCATACGGGGAGAAGATCTATATGACCCTCTCAGCCTACTTGGAGGTACTGTACACTGCCTGCATTCATAAGAAGGAGAAATAGCTCTTACAGGATCAGAGGTGACGTGTGAGTTACTCTAGAGGAACAATGTTGGAAATGTCTCCTGTTTTATGAATTGCAGATGGAGAACTGCACGCAGCCTGCAGTTATTACCAAAGATATCTGCATGGTGTTTTACTCTAGGGACACAAAGCTCTCAGCTTCCCGATCAATTCGTAACCTTTTCGGTACTGGTAGCCTAAGAGCTGCAGATGGGTGAGGAATTTTAATCTTTAAAATCGTCATTTAGCTAATTTGTTCTCTCTGATGATGTTCTATAAAATGTTAAATGCCCTCTCACTCCCGTTTTTTTTAGAAACCGTGTAACTGGAGTTTATGAGGTCAGCCTGTGTCACCAGGCAGATGCAGGAAGCCCTGGTAAGAGGCAAGAAAAAAAATGGTACAGTTTTGCATTTAGCTCAGTCGTCCTGAACTTCTAACATTGCACCCATCCCTCACCAGGAATGCAAAGGAGACGCAGGCGGGTGCTGGACACCTCTGTGGCCTACGTCCGTGGGGAAGAGAACCTGGCTGGATGGAGGCCACGTAGTGACAGCCTCATTCTGGACCACCAGTGGGAGCTGGAGAAACTCAGCCTCCTCCAAGATGTAAGATTTGGCTCTGCTCTGTGCTTCTGATGGAAACCAGACTGGAATTTATCAAATAAACAGGTTTCCTTCCTAATTTCCACTTCAGGCAGGGGGCATTGTTTGCTGTTAGTGACTGATGTTTTTCTGCTAGGTGGAAAAAACCAAACATTACCTCCTTCTGAGGGAGAAACTAGAGTCCACGCTGCTCATGGGCCAGGAGACCCTTCAATCCTGTGTCACCGATGAGCTGAATGAGTCTCCTCAGCCTGCTGAGATGGACCCGGAGGTCAGCTGCAACGAAATCACCACTGAGAGGCAGAGGGAGCTCGCTGCTAAGGTCAGCCGTCTTTACCCTGTCAATAATTTATTTCAGGTTTGACTTTATTGTAACGGGTTCTGTTCATATAAACATTCCTGTCAAGCAGAAATGTAGTGCTTATCATGTCACACGTGATTTTGTTATATAACCTGACATTTTAAGCTCTCTCCTTTTTCCGTACAGTGTTTGCGGCTGCTCACTCACTCCTTCAACAGAGAATACAGCCATGTGTGTGTGAGCGCCAGTGAAAGCAAGGTCAGGCTTTAAGGGTTTAAACACACACACACACAGAAAATCAGATTTCTGTTTTTGTCGTCTGAGTCCTAACATTTGCTCCGCTGTGGATCCGTTTGACTGTGTTCATTACAGATCTCTGAGATGTCCATCACAACGTTAAGAGAGTCCACTTCAATCTCTGCTCTTAACACAATCACCCCCTCCTCTACATGCCCTTCACTTGTTGAGGGCTGCTACAGCAATGCTGGACTCAGGTCAGTGCTCAGATTGACATGGTTGTTGTTAGTAATTATCAGAGCCGGTCTGCAGAGCAGAGTGTTGACATTGGCTGCAGTTCACTTCCAGGGTGCTCTCAAGATGTTCCTCAAAGACATCTAAAATAAGTATTAACATCTCCTGCTGAAAAAACAAAAAAATATATTTAAAATGAATAAATAAAGTCGTAGTTCCAGAAACTCTTGACCTTAAGGTTTCCGCTTTTATACCAGACCCACATGTAATAAGACAGAGATATAGAGCTGACAGAGTTGAACTCTCTCTCTTTTAAGGTGTCTGACATGTTTCATGTGCTTATCATCAGAAAAAGAATCAGCAAATAGGTCTATTATTTTGAAATTCTCTGGTATTAACAGTATTTGGGTCCTGTAAGGCACAGAGAGCTCCTTTGTTGCTAGAGCTTAGATATTCTCTATTTTTACTGCAGACCCCCTGTCCCTCGCTCTCGTGTGGTTAGCTCCGGTCCTGATGCACAGCAGGACGCAGAGGCCAAGAAGTCCATCAGCGGAGCCTCTGAAACTAAACCTCAGACCCAGAAGTTTGTCCCAGATATCCAGGAGATTCGAGTCAGGTGAGGAGGAAGAAGTCATTTCAGAACATTTTATTATTTGAGCTTTACTTCAGACCCAAACATGCTATTATATCATCTTTATCTTTCAGTCCCATCGTGTCGAAGAAGGGTTACTTGCATTTCCTGGAGCCGCTCACCAATGGATGGGTGAAGCGCTATGTTGTCGTGCGGCGGCCGTACGTCTACATCTACAACACGGAAAGAGACGCAGTGGAGCGAGCTATTCTCAACCTCTCCTCTGCCCAGGTGGAGTACAGCGAGGACCAGCAGGCGATGTTAAAGGTTGGTGAACCAGACTCCTCCATCAACAGTTTTATTAAGTTATTTTTTAATGAACTTCACTTTAAGTCAGATCAACCCAACAGGTTTAAGTTACACACATCGCACAGTTAGTGAAAGTTAAGGTGCGCACTTTCAATTTAATAAAAATAGCAAGTTAAGGAAACAGGTAGAGTAGAGAGTAGAAAGTTGAGTGAGAATCATTCAAAACATTGCATTAAGCTTGCTGCATTAAGCTTTCGTGGCTCTCTCCACAGACCCCAAACACATTTGCTGTGTGCACAGAACATCGTGGAATATTGCTTCAAGCCACAAATGACAAAGACATGCATGACTGGCTGTATGCTTTTAACCCGCTCCTTGCTGGAACTATCAGGTAAGTCAAAAAAAATCTCAAGGTGGAAAAAAAATTTGAACTGCAAACAAAATCTATTTTTAATGGATATTTTCTCATCTATCTCTCAGGTCAAAGTTGTCGAGAAGACGAGCCGGACAGATGAGGATGTGAAACAAGACATTTTAAAAAATGTCATGAGAGCAACTCAAAGACTATGATGTACATAGATCCTTGTCTCTATCCCGTTTCTCCTGCTGAGCCCCGTCTCCACCGCTACAGTCACCAACAACCATCTCTCTCCCCCGTACGTTCTCTGTTTATCACTAGTGTCCTCAGCACCTAAAGCACCCATTTCCTGTCAGGCCTATTCTGCGATGTGAGTCTTAGTCTGAAGAACCTCTTCAAAAACTTGTCACTGTACTGTACTGGAGTTTGTTCATAGCTGGACGAGAGAAGAAAATGGAGGGAGTAGCAACAGTTTCTTATCTCAGATTACATGCGTATGGTAATGTACTGTAGTTGTTGTCGGTGACACATCAAGCCTTATACATCAGTTCTTTAAAAAAAAAAAAAAAAAAAAGCAGTGACAGGCATGTTTTCCTAAAGCTGCGAGGATAACATTGCTGCATTTGCATCAGTAAATAGAAAAACTCTTCTACAGCTATATATAAAGGTCTAAACTGATTTGCATACAACATACAGCTAAAAAATATGAAGGGACAGTCATGTGTCTCTCTCTTAGGAATATTTCTCTCTTCTTTCTGGTCCATAAATCCTGATATCCAGTAAGCTGCTTCCTCTTCCTAAAACTTCTAGAAACCTTAGCACACACAGCCTGGCACGGGAATGGCATCTCATCATAAACTTTATGTCGCTGTAGTAAATTCATGTTGTTTTTAGCTACTCGTAGGAGCACTGAGGGTACCTGCATTCCCACAAGAAGTAATCAGATGTCATGACATTAATTCTCCCATTTTAATCTCTACCTGTATTTTATTTGTTTTAAAATGTGATATATTTAGATATTTAACAGTTTTATTATTTATTTCTGCGTGTATTTATTTAAAAAAAAAAAGCATTTATATTTCTAAAGTAGTAGTACAGTGCAATTTCTGCACACTGCACTTTTTAATGAGTTCTTTAAATGTTTAAATGATACAACCTTTTCCCCTCGCAATGAATATTACTGAAACAATTTAATAACTCGCAGCTTCTTTATGCTGAAAATTACTTGAATAAATACAATCTGATACGCGATTAGCATAGTCACAACTTAGACCCAGCTAACATGCATTTAAAATGCCCAGTAATTAGGTAGATGATATAAGTAGGTGGCCAGTTCATCCTCTGCTGCACAAAGCTACCTTATTCAATCAAATGAAAAAGATGAAATCTTCTTCACAGTACAGAATATGAAGCTGTTTTTTTCCTGAATGATATGTATATTGATTGAATGTAGTGCCTCTCTTTTCAGGCATACTGCACGCTACAGTATGCCTCTGCACCAGTTGCTTTGAAACTACATCCTTCATGCTGCTAAAATACTGTTCTGGGAGTGTCTGCAGGTCATATCATCACTTTCTTGCCTTCCATCATCATCATCATCGTCATTTCAAGTCCAAGCAGAAGGTTTCATTTATGATATCATAAAGTGTGGAATTTCCATAACACAAAGCATACTCAGAGAAACATATTTCAGGATTTTCACTCATACAAATGGCCATATTAAAAGGAACCCTGACTATGACCACATGTATAGTTTATTATATTAACATTAAAATCACTTAAAACTTAAAAGGGATGCCAATAAATCCACTGTAGATGTGTTAGTAATTAAAGATTTGAACTCGAATGCTACCTTGGTTAGAAACACTGAACACGTACAAACTGCTGAGCTGATCGAATGGTCAGATTTTCACTTTTTCTGTGAACAGAGTCGTGACCTTTGGTTTGCTTTCAGAGCAGAGGGTTTACTGTCAGCAGCAGCTATTGTTTCCCATTTTTCAGGTTTCTTCAAGCTATTTTGAATCACTACCCAAAAACATTTGGACGCCTATAAAAAGATTGCTGGAACAGCATTTAGTTTCAATGATCCTTTCCAGCAGTATTTGTCAGCTTTTTTTTAGTTACTAAATGCATTAAATGCATTAGTTCTGAGAACCACAGGTTCTTTCTCCTTTTCTCAGCAGCAGGAGATTAATGATCATGTCTCTTGTTTCCTTACTGCTGGAAATTACAATCAAAAGTAGCAGGGATACTGTTTATGGTTTGTATACTGCAGGTTGTTAAAAAGAGCATTTAGTTTATGTCACTGACCCAGAATGCATTGCATACTAATAGTACTTGCAACAGTTTTATTGAATGTTGGCTATTTAAGGCATATTAAGGCCCACAAGTTAAATAGTCGGGGCTCCTTTTACACAGTTTTAGTCCTGTTGGCAAATTTTTGATGAAAATGCAACCATGCCTCTCGTTTAAAAACCCTCAACAGATAAAGCGTGTGAGCTGTTGTGAGAAGTTGGACTGATGAGCGTGCCTCAGGTCATCCAGCCTAGAGAGCACGCTCAGTGAGAGCATGACGTGTCATTTGAGAGTAAGTGAGAGTAAAATTAAACATAACTCCAGTTCAGTATGTTCTTAGTTTGGCTGCTGATGTAATACCTTCATTAACATCTAATAAGAAGTATCTTTCCAGAGGTTTTAAAGTATTCTGTGTGCTATGGAAATCATCAGTTCATCGACAGTTGTGACAAATCAAACAACCAGAATATTTTTTTGTAACAAACAGATTAAAGTGTACTTCAGGCCACCATATCTCAAACATGTTTTTGTCGCATCTCATTTCCTAAAATTCAACGTGGTCAGAAAAACGAATGCGTGTCCCCGGGTTTGCTCCAGTCTGGTCTCCATGGTGACTTTTTTCCTCATGTTTTTATTGGGCCTTTTAATGTACATCACATTTGAGCCAACCAAAGTTTTATTGTTGCAGTCACAAAAATGTAACACTGAATGTAAACTGATCTTTGAAAATACTTACTCTGCTGAAATAATCGTTTTGAATTGTCTTCACATTCCGGTTCCTTATTGATTGTAGGTAGGTCAATATCAGGGAACCTTTTGGAGGCTGTGGGACATAGCTGAAGCAGTCTGTCCACTAATGTATGGGAGGGTGGTGGTTCACTGTGTCCCAGCTGGGCATCATGTACAGAGTAATGCTGTAGGTTACCTTACTGTCGAGTTTTCAGTATCACCGTCATGCTCTTGGCAGCCTTCACTTAATCTACTTTTTCTAAACCCTCCCCTTTTCAAGGAACATCATTTCCATTTTTGTGCTTCCATATCTTTTTCACACCATTACTTTTCTTTCTCTTCAGATATTTTTTGCATTGTATATAAACATGATTGCTGTGAACACTGTATTATAAAGTTGCACCCATTTACAAATGGGCCGTAGTTCAGTCAATGTCTCTGAGTGTTGGAGTTTTAGCGTCAGCTGTTTGTGTACACTAAACACATTGTCATATATGAAATAAACATAGAAAATATGCAACACAAAAATTACTTCTCTCTTTTTTTGTTAAAGACAATACAACTTTTGTTTTTGCATTGTCAGTTGTGCAATCACAGATATTGTTATGATGTTGATAATGTTTATCTGGAAGACCCAAACTCAAAAACCCCAAATCAGACTTTAACGTACCGAAAGAGCTCAGCCATCAAAGGCCATCTGGCAGACTTTGCAGCTAAGACATAGATGCATCACTTTAGTCTGTCATGACATCAGTTACAGCTAACTGTTCCTCCTTCTGCATTGCTTGGCTTATCAGCTATTTAACAGGTAACTATGCTCAGCATAGAAACATGTCACATGTCAGTCCTTATCTTGAAGTGACTCTAAGCCCAAGCCAGCTGTATTAGTGTTAGAATTATGAAGGTGAGAACTGTATATTGGTGTTGTATGTTTTAATAGTACTCACCAGAGTACAAATCACACATACTTTTCATGATGCATTACACTGGAAAAAAATTGAGGCCTGCAGTTTGTGAGCTGTGAGCCCATAAAGTCATCAGGAAAGCATTCACTGAGTTCACAGGTTAAGTAGCCATGGCGGTTTTTCATACTCTTCTATATGACTGAAAGTCTTTGAACATAAAATTAAAGTCAGAATTCTGAGAAAAAAGTCAGAATTCTGACTTTAATCTCAGAATTCTGACTTTTTTCTCAGAATTCTAACTTTTTTCTCAGATTTTTTTCCAATGGCGCTAATCCTCTTCCATAGCTTAGGGAACCTGCATCAATCTTTTATATACAGTTCACGTCATTTGTGAAAAACATTTCTGAAAATGACCGCATCATTTCCTCCATATTATGTAGTTGTAATAAAGTATAATACATATAAAGAAAATTAGTTCATATCTATATTTAAAAATGTTTCTTAAAGTTCATATCGGACCCGAGAATCCATTACTGGCCAGGCTCAGGGACAAGACGGAGACAAAGAATCCTGAACTGAAATCGTTGGGAGATTTACACAACAGCTTCCAAAGCTAACAAAATAGCTTAAAAATTTTGTTTTCTAAAATAACTTTTAACTGTAAAAAGAAACAACTTTTTTTTTTTTAGTGAATCAGCCTTTTTATGTTAGAGTTAAATAAAGTTAAATAAAGCAGTTAAATAAAGGTACACTGCCTGTTTTTTTGAGCTCATGAAAAGTTGTATTTAGAGATGTGTAGCCCTCAGCTACGCTAAAAAAAAAAAAATTACAGACAAATTATGGATAATTATAAATTAAAAGTCCCAAATGAATACAGACTATTAAGAATGAATTAATCGGAGAACAACTACAATCAGAGAAATTAAATACTCCTGGCACTTTCAGCTCCCTGGCTGTTGCTAAGCAGCAGACGCCAGTGTTGCCATGTCTGTGTGTCAACGTTTTTTAAGAGCTGTTTCTAAAATAATTCTCTTCTTATTTTACTTACTCACTGTTAATATAAGTCTTCATCTACTAGATTTAAGTTGATGTTTTTTTTAAATTATTTTTTCAACATGGTACCTGCCGGACTTCAAACGAAAATAAAACTAACCCTTCTGAGTCTTCCCCAAGTTGTGAGGTGACAAATCTCTGAATAATTTTTGCTTTTTAGTAATTAATTATATTTACAAAATAAAGAATAAAATACTGAAGAACATGACAGTAACACTCAACTCTTCTACATAATAAATTAATATTTCTTGTGCGTTTTCTTCGAGATTTTAAACTGTGGGGTTTCCTTCAACAAATCTGGCAACCCCGTCTGGGACGTGACAGAAACATGCTAGCTGGCTGATGATTGACCCGTATAGTTGTAAATCCATTTAGGAAATCTTCACATCAGCCTTACAAGGTCAGATACAAAGCTTTGGATGTCCCTGGAGGATTCCGTTCCTTTATCAATTTAAGCTTAAAGGCGGAATCACAGTTAAATACGATCTTATAGCGAAACTAAGTTAGCTAAAAATTAGCTAGCTGCAGGCTAATGTGAGAGCTGTCACAGAAAGTTAGCGCTAGCTGGATAATGAAGAGCTCGAGCTGACCGACAGTGTCCCTAAAGATATCTGTGGTTCTTTTAATACGTTTTCTGTGTGCTGGTTGACTAGAACAGTGTTGTGAACAGGGCGCTATCAGCTGGATGTTACGTTTGCTGGCTACCGACAAGACACTGGACAACTATGACCATTAAATAATATTTATTAAGACTGTGTGTTCACTGAACTTTTAGTACTATAGAGGGTCTGCTAATAAGTGCGCATTTTTATTCATAAATTTGTGGAGCTGTACGTGACTAACTCTGCGTGATGAAGCAATCCAAACCGTGTGCGTGGCACAGTCACTAGAATTGGCAAGCATTCAGTTTGTGATGCAGAAAATCCATGAAAAAGTTTTAGATAAGTTTTACACTGCTGGAAATGCAGCGAATGGGACACAAGTTAGGCAGTCATTTAAGCTATTTATCACAGAGAATATCCAATCACTACGTTTCAGTTTCCCTTTTAATGTGCAGCTGTCACTTTAGAAATAAACAGCATCTCTTGGATGAGAAATCCATTTAAATCCATTAAAAAGCAAAGAAGCAGATGAATTGTGAAATAAACAGAAGTTGCAGATTCAACAACACGTCTCTGTTTTCCATATCCTGTCAGTCTGTCTCTACAGATTACAGATCGCAGCCAGAGGAACAAAATCTTGTATTTTATGCAAAATAACAATAATGTGTATATCTTTGTATAATTAAAACAACTTACTGAAATAGATAAATACTTTAGTCTTTATTTATAATCCAGTTTTATAGACTAATGCTGGTATCACCACCAAAATATTTTGTAGTGACTGCAATTTTTACACTTTCGGTGGGCGGATTCAGGGTAAGGGTCTAAACTCATTTAGTCACATTTTGATGTGTGACTGAACAAAAAACTGAATCCCAGATATCAGAATAAAGTAAATAAAGGGACACACATGCAAAGTATCAGCATCTGCCGTCAGTGAATGTCATCTTATTTGCAGACAGACTGATGGTAGTTATAATCTAGTTATAATCTAATTTATCTACTCAGACATCCAGGTAAATGAAATAAATGTCATTTCCTCTCCAAGGGTATTATGGCCAAAAAGCTTGATGATGTCCCGCTGGTACAGGGTCCGACCTTCAGTGAACATAATTTTCATCACTTTTCTGAGATGAATCTAGACAGGTAAGAAAATAATGTTGATATATATCAAGTTACTTGTACAGCAGCTGTGATGCTGTAACTTAGGACTGCGGAATTAATATTGATTTAGAATAATTACTGAGGTTATATGTAGGTTTTAGAAAATTTGTGTATTTTCTCTAAATATTTTTCTTATTTTAAGAATGGTCAGAAACCAAAGTAATTGATTGCAATTTAAGTAATTGAAATTTCACTTTTTTATGAGTTGATCTTGTTAGTAGATGGTTTATTAATATGTTATGACGCATATACTTCCCATAGGACAATGCACAAAGTGTGATGAGAGTATTTTGTATATTTCAGGATCTACATGGATTACAATGCTACTACCCCTCCAGAACCAGAGGTGATTCAGGCCATTTCCGAAGCCCTCCAGGATGCCTGGGGAAACCCAAGTAGCAACTATATAGCAGGTGAAGAACGCTTGAAGCTGTGTCAAAACTAAAAGGTTTAAAATTATTGTTATTATTTTTCAGTATTTTTCCATGTGTATTGAATAAAGTTTTGTGAGATTTTTTTTTTAATTCCATATTGTATGCGCAAATCCCAGCCTAGTGACAGGAATTGGACATTAGTGCTCTAACTCTGTATTCCTGTGTGAAATATGACAAGGTCACTCTACCAAATAAATACAATAGAAACTGTTAAATGTATGTTGTGTAACTGGAGGAGGGAATACAATCACAGCAGCTTGTGTGGATTAAACTTGTGGCTTTCTCTGAGTGCTGAATGTGTTTTTACTGTTCTAAGTGAGTTTCACTGTCAAAAGAGAATACATCTGTTTCAATCATTTATATTTTCAGGTGCTAAAGCTAAGGCTATCATCAATCAGTCCAGAGAAAATGTGGCAAGAATGGTTGGAGGGAAAGCAGAGGACATCATTTTTACCTCAGGCGGAACTGAGGTGGGCAGGGCTCTTTTCTGGTGCAAATAAGTTATATAAGTAATTTATGATCCTGGGACATTACAAACTGGTCATTTACAGCAAAGATTTTGTCTTTCAGGCCAATAACCTGGTGTTGCACACCGCTGTAGAGCACTTCAGGAAGCACTGCAGGGCTGCAGAACAAGGTGCAGGACACCAGAATGGATGCACAGGCCTTCCTCACATCATTACTTCTAATGTGGAGCATGACTCAGTCAAACTAGTTGCTCAGCACCTTGAAAAGGAAGGAAAAGCAGGTAGGAAGCCACTCTGTGTAGCTTTTATTAAAATAAAAGATTAATAAAGAAATATTTCCTGTATTACAAAGGACAGTCTATGCTTTTCTTTATTTTACTTAAAAAAAAATCTGTCAATAACATGCTTCAGATTTCCTGTGGCTGAATCAAAATGTCTAAAATAAATATCAAGACAATTAAAGGTCTTAAATTATTTTATAACCCATTTGCTGCCAATAACATTAATGTCATAATCTTTTTTTTAATGAAGATGTAGTACCTTCTATGTGCCAACACGTAAGAGTGCTAACCCAATGGAAAACTTTAATTTAATTCTGCTTTTTTACATTTTAATTATTAATTATTGAGTTTCTGAAAAGGTCTTGAAAAGTACTGATTTCCATTTTTAAATAGTGCCGGATCCTTGATACTCTTCCAGTCATGGTTCATGTTAAATGTTGTCAAAGAAAAAGTGTATTCAGCATATAAACTGCTAAAACACTGCCTCCTGGTGGTGAAAGTTTTGGGTTAATTCTGTGGAGGGTAATTACAAAAAGTACCTTTAAACAAATCAAGATTTGCATAACCTAATGTAGGCTCCTTGCCTTTAATTACTCTCTCAACTTTGTTTTTTGTTTTCTTC